GGTCGCCTGCCGACGCACTGGCTTTGCGCATCTATTGCTTTCTTATCATAAACTGTCGCGTCGTTGCTTGCACAGTTTGCAGCCAGTTTCGTGTCGGTATCTGCTTGATCCAATATTTTACGCGACTCGTATTGTTTGTCCGGTTATCTACTTTCCAAATTCGCATTATATTCGATCATCAATCGATTATAGTCGACCCCCATGTTGATTTAATATTCATCATTAGGATGGCCCATCGTGCTAGTGTAAGTAACTTTTAACTAAACAGCACAGATTGTTCGTTTTTCTCCGCTGTGTAATTTCTTTGTCTATTTACAGTATTTGCCGTGCCTTGGAGTCCATGAGTTCGGCATTGGTAAGTATATAATTCAATTATATTTTTCATTTTAATTCCTGTGTTCTCCATTAGTTTGTATTTACATTGTTTTGATTTATCGCGTTCCGCCGCGTGTTGCAAATATATATGATAGTTGCGTTCTCGGCTGATACATCTCAAAATTAACTGTTTAGTTTTTCCTTCGCTTACAAAAGCGCAAAAGTTGTACTTTAAGATGCAATTCAGTTCAATGAGTCTTTTCACTTAACTTTTAACATTCTAGATTTAAAGCGAATGGTTTATATGAAACTAATTATTAAAATTAGTAAATGACTTTTAAGATAACAAAACATATTGCAGAAGTAGTGAAAGAAGATAATTGCGTCAAGTTTTGAGTTATTTAGTTAATATTTACGTTTGATTTTATTGAATTTGGCTTGTATACACATAATTTCAAGACTTGTTTTCGTTTTTTGTAGTGCGTGTTATCAGTGTTTGGGTTTTGTGTGTGTGTTGCTGCGCGCAACGTTACCTGATACAAACGGTATTCTGCACGCTGCTGACATGAACGGCGACATTTGGCAAATAGTTTTATTCTAGCCGTCGGGCGGTGTGGTTGGCTTTACCTGTGTTCTTAATTAATTAATTCAGTGATTCGCGCTGTATTCGATCAATACTGATATTTAGAGTGAATTGACCATTGAATCAATTCCAAGATGGAATTATTTATTTTTATATGTGAATTTAATGTTTTGTGTACTGTTTCCGTCGGTGCATGTGCTAACTCCAATATGGAATATACATATATTCAACTAGATCAGGGGTTCCTAACCTGGGGGTAATTACCCCCGCAGGGGTAAAACGGAGATTCTAGGGGGGTAACACGGGATGGCACGAAATAGTATTAAAATAGCAATAAACAAAATAATAGTACGGTAAATGGTAGCATGGCGCTATTTATATATTACTTTAGTAGTTACGTAATCGTGCAATTTCTTATATAATAAGCATATTTTCGTTCGAATTTATGTGGTGTTAACTATTTTAAATTAGCTAGGGGTAAACTCAATTCCCATACTTGTTCACAGGGGTAGTGACCTTGAAAAGGTTAGGAACCACTGAACTAGATATTAAGCTACACATATTGCGGTGCAAGTGGCTTGCCAAGTAAGTTTTCATATTGTCGAGAGCATGTGGGCTGTCATGTATTGTATTTCTGCGACGAATTAAACATTATGAAGCGTCATTTACCGCGATATTGTAAAGTAAAAGTGATAGAAAATAATGAATTGCAAATTATAAATTTATGGGAAATTTTTTATTAGGTACCATACAAAAATAAGGCTCGTGTTTCACAATATTTCAGTTGTTATTATCTCATTAAATAAAAGCGATAGAACGAAACAGATTGAAAATTCGAAATATTCGGAATCTGCTTCTGTAATTGCTTTTCGAGTTCCGCTGTCAAACGCTTTGGTAAGATAGTTATAATTAAGTAATTCATTGCTTGGGTTCAATTTCTCGTACATTATTCAAAAATTCGTTTTCGACTTTTTGGAAGTTTAGGAAGATCTCTTCCTGGAATTTTAGATTTTCTTCTAGAATTTAGTTGTTTTTCTTTGTATTCCCTGCTTATAACATATTTATTTATTTTATTATTCATCACATCCTGCCTTTATTAGTAATCGTGAATAAACATTGTTTTGAGTTGCGTGCAGCCAATAAGCAAAATGAAACCACTTATCTCCTGGGTCGCGTTCAGCAAGCATATCGCAAACTGATAGTGACCGCGTGTTGTCGCCGTAGACTGGGCACATTGCACTTTTATTTCGGACGCCGGGTAAATCGCGCGTGTTCATCACAACTACTCGTAGTTCTGTTTCGTCCGATCATAATTAGGTATATCGGTTTACGAGTATATTCCACAAACAATTAACGACATATATAGGAATCGCGTTAAATGTTCATGAATCGCAGATTCATCGTAAGATCATTTGTGCTCGCGTGTGGTTCCGTCGGCCTTCCCTGATTATTTTTCACCTGTAGAATTATACTTAACTCAATTTTGGAATAGAACTTGTTAGTTCTCAATTAGCAAATATAGGAGCTTCCATTTAAGTAAAACTAATCAGGAAATTGTCGTCTCCAACACGGGTTGTGTCACAAGTTTTCTCCAACAACACAAGATGATCAATCGCAAATCTGTATTTTATTAACAATTAACATGTCTTAGTGTAAATTTATGGCAATCCGTCGACCGTCGGCTAGCATCTCAAGCGGGACTATTAAAAAAATAATGTTACCTTTTATTATAAATTGTTTTTTTTGTTTAACATCCTGCCTATTTATACCTATCTCCTGGTGTTACTTGAAAAAAATATTGTCTTTGTGGTTTTGGTTCTTGCCTTTCTTGAACTTTGAATTTTCTTTCTCTAACACTTTGTACATTCCTTTTCATTGAGTGAACATAAGCTATACTTGTAGGTTTTGGTTGTTTTTCAATTGCAAGTTGCAATTTTCTGTTTGAGACACTCAGCATCATAATTTCCTATGACATTCATGCATAAATGCAACACCCTGTATATTAATTTTCCTTTATGTTACGTGAAAAGATAGTCATATTTGTAGTGTTTGAAAGTTTGTCGTTGACGTATATTCAAAAATAAAGTTGTTTTCTTTTTGTAACACCCTGTATATTAGTTTCCTTGATTGTCGAGTGAAAACGAGCCAGGTCTATTGTGTTTAGAGTTTTTTGTTTGCACTTTAAATTTCCCTTTTGTATCACTGTAAAACTGTACGAAATGGTACTCGCTTATATGTGCGCGGCTTAGCAGGTCGAAAATCCTATTTCAATATGGCGACATATACTCTGTTGACTTGTAAAGTCCAAACTTTTATTCTATTGTTAATAAAGAAATAGTAAAATATATTGTATTCTTTGATTTGTACTCGTATGTACGTCTTCTATCATTTCAGCAAGAGTTCCCTCTCTCAGGGGATGATCCCCTCTATGAAAATTGTTAAGGTAACCTGTATGATTTGTGTACTCCTTCTCTCATTTCAGGTACAGGTCGGAACTTGTAAGAATATTTTAAGTGTCCCCTCTCTTGAGGCGACTTAAAAATTAAAAATATTTTTACAAGTCCTTAAAAGCATGTCCTAATAAGGAGTTCCCTCTCTCTGGGGATGATCCCCCACCATAAAAATTGTTGATATGCCTGATAATTCCGGGGATGAAGCGCAGAGACATCGTAGCTGTAGGATGGGCCGGGAGCAATGGACACATCGAAGCAGTTACTGTCTAACGACACGGGCCAAAAAATTTAAAAATCTGATCCACTCCTGTGGATTTCTATCTCCTCCTCTTCTCTACTCTGTTTCTGTTCTCTTCTTCTCTTCCTTCTATCCTCTCTACTCCTCATTCTTCTTCTATTTCTTCTATGCGTTTCTCCACTTACTTTCTTACTTCTCATAATGCCTTCACTTGTATTTCAATTTCTCTTATATTTTATTGCAATTCATATATGCAACCCAAATTACACCTGATATTTTTATATTTGAGAAAAATGCCTTCTATACCTTAGATTCGATCCGTGTCTGCTAGCATGCCAGCAGGTGCACGTCTCCACTCGACCACCGAGTGTTTTTGTTATTGTTATTTGATTCTTCTATTTAAGTTTTTACTTTATTCTACCTATTAAAAACAATAACACCATGCTAAGTTTAGCTATGTTGCACACGCTCCACGCGCATAAGACTTATATGCAATGTGACTTAATACAACAATACCTAAAACGACAGAGAGGATGATACCAAAAAGAAATATGAACGAGATTGTAATATTATATTGTGTTTTATTTACTAACATTATAAAAAATATATACAATTATTCATATCGAGAATGTAAAGACTTGCTTTAAAATACGCACATCCATTACACCTTTGCAGTGGATATACTAAAACAGTCGCAGTCTGGGCAAATGCATTCTGCCTGTTCCTCCTCAGTTGCGTCATATCCTATTGTTTCATCTTTCGACGTAAAGTTAAAGAGTAATTGGAAATGTTTTCGACCCATCAGCGATAAAACCAAAATTGATTTTTACTTACCCGTGATTTTGTTTTAGAAACAGAAAAACCAGAAACTCCGTTCTAAATTGGTAAGAATAGCATATCCCGCTAATTCACAACGTCTCTGCACCAAAAACATAACGTGAATGTCATTAACATACCGCACGGGAAGCCAGACAATTAATTTTGTATCATTACAGACTTACCAGTGCAATCCAAAGTCAGTCATTCCAGAATAATGCTGAAAAGCCATGAGCACAAACACAACAATGTGCACATTCACGTTGCCGACGGCTGGCGATAACACACACACCCACCCTGGTGAAAACACCCTAATTCCATGGTATACCGAAGGAAATAATTGGTAACACCTAATACCGATTAATTATCACGTATCGACTTAACAGAATCAATTATCAGAATCTGCGTTATTTAACCGACGACCAGCATCATAAATTACCCGGCACAAACTGCCTGCTGCGTTAACGACACGGCAGGTGGAAAGCATCAGGTATCAGGAGGGGATCGCAGTGGTAGCTCGCACAATATTGTGTAGTACCCGTAAGGATTATGCTCTCAGTCAACTGTAGTAAGAAAAAAAACATACAATCATCAATTAAAAGCAATATCGCCAATTCGGCAAAGTCCTGTAATCGTTTCAATATTTTTAGATATATAAATTTCAACATAACATAAACAGTCACTTTTTCAACTAGATAGATACATAAACAAAATAATAATATAGACTCTGAAATAAAATATGCAATGTTTTAAATAACATGGAAGGTAACATGAATTTAAAAGTATGTTTCACCAAGTTTCAGAAACTATACTAAACAAATTTGTCAGTGTCAATAAGCGACATCGCAACGTCAAACATCGTGAGTCGCGAAGGAATTGTTGCGTCCTCGTCTAACGAATCATCAAAGAGGTGCGGCTTCGTCGTATGCAGCACAGAATTATCCTGATAGTTGTTTATCGGTTTGAGATTCACGAGTGTGCGCAATGTTTCAATCTTCAATTTACAGTCATTAACAAGTTTTCCCACATCCTAAACAATATACAAATATAACATATACGTGATACAATTGATAGAAATAAATAGACGTAATTGTCTACCGTTAAAATAATAAAATCTAAACTATTTTCACATTTTACTACTAAATCTATATCTAGTGCTTACCGATAGTTGGGAGTTAAAGAGTTCCAGTCCTTGCTGTAGAAACGTCTGCTGCGGAAATTGTGATAGTGAGCTGTACTGATTGGCCAATGCTTGACCAAACTCGTTGTGTGGAGTATGCATGACAAGATTGCACAGTCCAATTGACTGACCAATACTTACTGTGTCAAGCAATGAGCACACTTTGGGTCCATCGACAATTTTCACATACAATAATCTACAAATATAAGTTAAAATCTTGGTTATAGTCTAACACTTAATAATAAATTGTTCTACTTGTAACTGACCTTCCTGCAAAATCTGCCAGCCAAACCTCCTGCTCATAATCCCCGATTGTAAATTCCACAATAACTCCGACGGTATCAAATTCATTAAACAACGGCTTATAGTAAACATCGGTTGTCATCGAAATCGGTAGCAGTTGCCGTTGACATCGTTTGTTGATAACTCCATCATGAAGGCGGAACATGGTACGCCTCACAGTGCTCAGCTCATAGGTCCTCCTACAACAACACACAAATTTCCGCGTAAATATAAAGCATTAGTGATAAATAATTGTAATGATCAATAACTTACTTCATAACAACATTATATATACTAATACAATTTTCTTCCAGCAAAATCTGTATCTGATCTTCTGTTGGCCTCCACACATTTAACACTGTACACTTTGCACTATCTTCGAGTGCATCCGTCACCAAAACCTTCAACAATGGTGTGACATCTCGCCGAGCTAATTTCATCTCTTCCACTTTTTTCGAAATGCGGTCAGAGATCTCTTTCTGGCGTGCTGATGCATTATTCAGTTTATACTCCACAAGTGAGGATTTTTGTGATGAACTTAACATACTCTAAAGTGTATAAATTAATAACTTTCAATTCTACATTAAATAAATAACTTACATAAAAACTTTCTGGATCATTGGATGCCTCAATCAATTGATACAATTGTTTTGGACAAGTTACTGTTTTCAGTTGATTTTTATCCAACTTTTTAATTGATGACATCTTTAGACTAGCCTCGTACTCATCATAGACTTGACTTTTGATCTTTTCAAGCTCCTTTATGCGTTCCCTTTCAAATTCAGATGAACGTTTGTCTTCAGCTTTTGCATTTCTCCAAACTAATAAAAAATTAACATCTCAACAACTTAGAAACAACAATATACAAATAAGATAAAACCTACGCACTTTTCATTCCTTTAAATTCCTCCATATACCGAATTGGATAAACTCTCACAATATAGACTTTAGCGCAGGCTACCAATCCACCATCAGGCTGAATCGACCGAATATGGATTGGAAATGGGGTTGGAATGTGATAATAACCAAGACGCAGATGCCACAATGCGCGACGTGTGTTATTGTAGCCGATTTTCAATTTAACATGATCAGGCGCCTGAAGAAACAAAAAAAAAACTGAATTAAAAAAATAGATAGAAAAAACAATTAAAACTTACATCAAGAGGATGACACCCATCATCACAATCCAAAATCTCCGCACCTTGAATCATCAACTTCGTCCCAACAACAAGTTTACCTTTGTATATTTGTTGGCTTAACAACTGATCAATGCTAGTCCGAATTGGATACCATCCATCGGTCAATATTAATTCGATTTTTTTACCACAAATCTGTAAATTTTCATTAGTAATTTTCAAATACACTAAACATTAAAAAAAGATTTGAACAACGTACTTGTATAATGTCCGCAATACATAAAACCATCCGTTTATTAGCAACGTCATCCTTCTCCATAATCCTCCTAATAGCAGGACGATTTGCCCGATCAATTTCTCGATCATACCTATACTTCAACTGTTGCATAATATTATCCACCGACAATGAATCCTTTAAACCATCCGGAAATCTCCTCTCGTAACATGCCAATTTCCACACGATCCACTTGTAATGATTGGCAACCCACCCTTTGGGAATCAAATTGGGTTCAATGCCAGGCATGACTTGAAAAGCGTTGTTAATCTCGGTCAAGCCGATTGTATTATGTGTATTTGGAATGACCTTCGCACCGTCCAGGCAATGTACCACAGGTTTATCATTAACCAACGACAAGAAGTGAATTTGTTCAGCGTTGCGCGGAGTAATTTCTTGAATTCTAAACTCAATGGTATAGCAATCTGATTTTTGGTTGATTATTCCTGGTAACTCCAAAAGTTTAACACGATTTTGTTTCGTTTTACGTATGCTAAGTATACCAAGTCGTGGTCTTTTATGTTCATGATCACATTGATCAACTACCAACCGTTGAGATTCTAATGCTTTCTTACGTTCTTCGAGGATCTCCAATTTCCGCTTAAGCCGTAAATACTCCGCATCGATATCATTTTGCAATTCTTGAAAATTACTTTTAGATTTTTCGCAAAACAACAATATGCCATCGTAGTCATCATCGCTATTATCATGATTAAGACTCTTTCTCCTACGTTTATTAATTTTATTGCCGCCATTACTTTTAATTGGAGTGAAGTCTAAATCAAAATTTCTATTACTAACCTTTTGAACCATTGGAGTGCTTGTCATTAACTTATCGTTTCCTCTATTGGTACTCATTTCATTTAAAAAATTATTATTTCTAAGAGGAGTTGAATAATTATTGGCAGCAGGTCCAGGAGTGTTGTACGGGTGAACTCTTGAAGTCTTGCAGAAACTCTTCATAGGTGTGATTGTTAAGTCCTTATCGCATTCATCAAAGAGTAATCGCGCTTTTTCTAACTTTTCTTTAGGTATCGAACTTATATTTGTTACTCTTGACATTCCCAATCGTTTCTTGGCTAAACCACTTGTTGAAACTTGTTTCATTGGTGTTGAATTTTCTTTCTTACTCTCAATTATATCATTCCTAACTGGTGTTTTAGTGACATCAAAAGATGTAAACTTTTTTGATGAGTTCAAACGTTCCAGTGCTTTGTCATACGACTGAACAACATCTTGAATTAATTCGGGAGCTGTTTTAGTTGATGATGTACTAGGCACGTCAGAATTCTCGTAAAATTTATCGGCAAACGATTTTATTTTTTCAGGATCAACTGTTATTTTCTTGCCCGAGGCACTTGAAAATCCACCGCCTATATTTCTTGTCGGAGGTACTTGAATTTGCGGAGATTCAAAATCAATGCCTAAGTTTTGATATGTGGAAGTAGCATTTTGAAGCTTTTCTGCATCCACTTCAATCTGTTTTCCGGATGCGCTAGAAAAACCACCAAACGCATTACAGTTTTTCATACTTCCCGTTTGTACAGCGCTGGTGTTCATTTCTGGATATTTAGACTCAACTTTTAAACCGTACTTTTGTTGAGCACTCTCAAAATCTAAAAAATGATATTTTGCTGTAGCTCTTGCAATTTTTTCATGGTCCACTTCTATTTTTTTACCCGCAGCGCTGGAGAAACCGCCACAATTTGTATTATTTCCTTGTTTAGGACTCGCAAAATCCAAATCTTGAAATTTTTCTGAAGCTTTCTTCAGCTTGTCCGGGGATAAATTTATTTTCTTACCCGACGCGCTCGAAAACCCAGCGTTAAAGTCAAAATTAAATGTTTGGACATTACCGAACTGCACAATTTCAGCAACATTTTTAGAACCCTCAAAGTTATCACTGAATAATGTCTTTCTAATATTTTCCTTGCCACCGCCGCATTCATTTTCACGACGATGCTTACCCAACAATGACTTTGCCTTTAAAATTTTTCTCTCTTTAACTGGAGACGCCTTCCTTTCAAAAGCTTTATATTCGTCTGAAGAAGTATTTGTAACATCAGCAGAAAATCGAGTGGTGGGTGAGGTGCTCCCAGTAGTGCTTGTCAAACCTTCTCCCCTCGTTGTTGTTCCACTACCAGAAGTAGAAGAACCATTCAAGTCATCAAACATTTTTGAAGCCTTGTTTAATAAACTTGCATTTAACTTTATTGGTTTTCCACCACCTGATTGAAACCCGCAGGCTGCATCGAAAGAAATACTCTTGTTAATTACTCCGCTATATTTACTGCTTTCTTCAAGAGGTTCCGTCTTGCATAGAGCCTGTCCTGATCCTGACTTAAAACCACTACTGGAAAGTTCGGTAATCCCGTTGATGATTGAATTATTTGATGCTGAACTTTTCGCAACACACGGTGAACGCATCGAAGCAACAAGTTTCTCAATCTTGTTTAGAGTATTTGGTAGTTTATCATTGTGTTTACAATCGTCGATGCTACCACTCCAGAAACCATGACTCTTTATATCTCCAGAGTTTGCAGAAGGCATTTCAATGGATTTACCCGTCGACTGACTATCTTGCTTATTAGGTACATTAGATGTTTCAGAAGATGTCGGTTTTTTATCGGCTTTGATATTAATTTGAATTCGATTATTACCTATACAAATCTGTACCCGATTGTTAGCAGCCAGCGCAATAGAATCATCTTTTTTCTCAACTTCGACGCCATTAATAACGATGTCATTTTGTGATTTGAGTTTGGTTTGATTTACAGGAGATGAAACCGCCATTATACTATTCTCATTTAATACATGTTTATTACCTTGTGTTGGTTTTGTATGTTGCACTACTTTCTTGACGCTTGGTCGTTTAAGTTTATTCTTCTTATTACCCATTGAATTTAAATATTCTTTACACCTTTGGTACTTCTTCTCGATTAATTCAATTTCTTCGGAGGAGAAACCAAGCAACGGGATTTCACTCCGTTGTTTGGCGTTCCCATGGTTACTGTAGTCGTTGCTATGGTTACCAAACAAGTTTCCGCTGACGTCACGCTGCGCTCTTTCAGGATTGGTGTTAGCGATTATCTTTTCATCTTCGGTCCACGTTCGAATCACACGCTGTAAATCAGGTGACAAACTAAAATTTCTTTTTTCTGTTTCAATATGCTCATCAACTTGTGAATTATCAAATACATTTTTAGTTAGAAACGAACTTTTCACTTTGTTTTTACAATTATTTGTTGGAATAAACTGGTATTGCGGTACATGTGCAACCGATTCATCGGTACTATCATTATAGTTTGGTTGACTGCAAGCTTCTTTATCAGTATCCTCTTCTTTAATGCACTGTGGTAATGTTTGGATAGGCCTTTTGGAAATATTCCGCGGACTAGATATCGATTCTTTGCTGGATGGTGACAGGCAAGGTGATGTATCAGATTCTACAGTTGTTTTACTGCCTTCTGCAAACTTGCTATTCTCATAAAGCATATCCAATACTTTTCTAGGAATGTTTAACAAATGTTTACTATGAAACTGATGAAATTCATCTTCAGACATATCTCCAAATCCTCCAGAGGCACATTTTACTTTATTTTGTGAACACTCTTGAAATATGTGTTTAGGAGAACTCTTTTTATTTTTAATTGAGCCTTCTGATATTGAAACTTGATTATTCACTATTATAGGGCTTTTATTAGGTGATAACACACTTGATATAGCACAATTTTTAATCACCTGTTGCTTAAAGTTTGTCAAACTGCTGCAACTTGTACTGTGCTCATCTGAATGATGAATATTAACTGAATGTACTGCATTTTTAATGTAATCTTTAACAGGCACTGGTATATATGAATTAGGAGACTTTGTGGGTGATGGTATATTTGGCTTTGCATCTGGCGAAGTAGAAGGTTTGTAAAACTTACGATTCACATGTTTTCTCGAGAAGCGTTTTCTTGTGAGGACAGGAGAAAGACTTAATTCTTTATCATCTTCATGATCTTGTTTTCTTGGTGAAATCATCTAAAATGTTCCGAAATTAATTATGGTTAGGTTATTTCTCTCCAGAATGTTTTCATACTCACATTAATGGCTTAGAAAAAGTACATCAAAGAAGAATACGATGAGCGAATTTGTATTTTTAGAGATTTTCGTGTGACATGTTTGGAAATTGAAAATTAGATTTGAAAGGTTTGAAGCGGTTAGGAAAACAAAGATTGTTGTATTTTGTATTTATGCTACGCAAGCGCCGTAGGAGAAATAACAACTCACAATATACAACATGTCCGGGGCAATTCAGAAACACATATTAAAACCTGTATTATAAACTTAGTAATAGCAAAATAAGATTTGCAACAATACGACACAACACATTACGTTTATTGTCTTAATCAATTAAATATAATTATCATCTTGGTTGTTTCCTATCAAATTTTGCGGTTATAGACATCAAGACACACATTGTAATCAATGTTCCCGCTACTGCCACAGTGTTTACTTCGCATACATTGTATTTCCATATGTTATCGCTGTACCTCCTAGTCGCATTGTTGGCGCACTCAAAATTCCACGACTCCACGTTCACCTTTTGCTCGGTGGGTTTAACCGCCGCGCGCGTTCGTTGTCACGGTCGAGGCGAAGCCAGCTGAGCGGAAAGACGGAAACAAAAACCACGACAGCAACACTCGCCGAATGAGTGAATAATGCCAACACTAAAGCGCGCAACAATTGCAACAATATGTTAGGACGCCGCCACCAGAAATATCAAAAAGTCGACGTCGACATCGAGCCGAAGGATCTCTTTGGCCCTGCCGGCGGCGGCGACACACCCCCACGAAGGATATTTACCTCCGCATGCCTATGGCGGTCTTTCTACACTGCAGTCCTCATTGGCATCTATTTTGCCCCATCAATAGGACTCACATTTTATCAAAGATGGCTTTACAAGGTAAACAACTTGAAAGATAATTATTGTATTGAATAAATATTATGTTCTTAATTTTTAGTCTTTTAAAAGTCCACTCTTCACAGTTTGCATTCATATGATTGTGAAACTGATTCTGGCTGTGATCATCCGTAGTGTAATAGCTTTAAAATTCGGTCGGCAACGACTCAACCTGACATGGAAGGAATATTTGCTCGCGATCGCGCCCGCCGGCGTTTTCAGCGGCATCGACATCGGTTTCTCCAACTGGGGCCTTGAACTGATCACTGTGTCATTGTATACAATGGCAAAATCAACCACTATCATCTTTATTCTAGTCTTTGCAATTCTATTCAAACTGGAGAAGAAATCCTGGAGTCTGGCGACGATTGTCACGATGATTTCGTTCGGCTTGTGCCTTGTGACGTACAAAGCGAGCGAATTTAATCTCCTCGGTTTTATCCTGGTGTTAATTGCATCAATAAGCAGCGGCGTGCGATGGACGTGCGTTCAGATGCTCATGCAAAAGTCGAAATTGGGCATGAAAAGTCCCATTGATATGATTTATCACATGCAAGGCTTTATGATCATATCGGTGTTGCCGTTCATGGTGGTAATGGAAGGCTCGAAAGTCGTGGAAGAATTTGGTAAACTCGCCGATGATGATTCAAACGAGATGAGTTGGTTGATTTTTAAAATTCTCGCCGGAGCGTTCATTGCGTTCCTGATGGAATTTTCCGAAGTGATGGTAGTCAGTTATACTTCCAGCTTAACTTTATCGATCGCAGGAATATTCAAGGTATGTACATTTATTGCAAATGTTTAAAATACTGGTTATTATCAGAGTGTGCAATTATTCATAAACAGCTGATAACGAGAAACATTTGTTTTAGGAATTATTCATGCTGTTCCTAGCCTTCCTTACTGGCGACAAATTTTCGGCGATAAATGTAGTCGGTCTAATCTTCTGTATTGGCGGAATCATCATTCACGTGGTACATAAAATCAGTGTGCTGCAGGCGCATACGCGCACATATGAATTTGATGAGTCCGATAGTTACGACTTCGGCGTGGGCAAGTCATTGCTGGAAGAACAAGAAATCGAGCAAATGCACCTGACAAGCGAAAGCGAAGAGGAACAAGACTCGCAGGAGATCTTCAATATCCTCAATCGACACGATAGGTGATGACACCAATCCTAACCCAACTTACTAACCTCAAAAGAACTACGAATCGAACAGTTCGCTTGATCTCGATGATCTCGATCAATACGAGTGCCATTCTAAAAACAACACAAAAAAAACAATCAAATAATCACTTGGCCCAATTGGCGTGTTCGACGTTCCCTAGTCCGGCATCTGATGTCGCAATCTATCATAAGTTATGACACAAGAGGTCCAATATGTATCTAGATATTTTGGAATTTTTATGTGCACTTAAACCATTTTCGGGCAATTCGTGCGTCTTTTTTACTGTGTGTGACGTATGCTCAAATGTATGTATGTACTTAACAGTTACGAACGAGTTTCGCAATTGTATCAGACGAAATGTTTCTTAATCACATGAATATGCACAATCGCGCACGTATTTGTTCGGATTTACAGCGATAAGCGGCATATTTTGTACGGTTAATGCAGTTTCAACGTGACTTGTTTTCGTCGATTTTTCATACATTACTACCATTTTTATGGGCGCACGGTATGCGCATAACAATTTTATACATTCCGTGTTTAGTTCCTTCTGATAAATATATTATTTAATAAGTGTTATTTAATTTTGGACGTAAATTTTAAAGAAACTATAGTAAACTATTTTATTTATTTCCATTTTAATTTCGTGTTGTGTTACATTATACGTTACTGAAACATGTTTCGCATTTTTGGCATTTTTCGAACTATTATTTTATAGTTATTATATATAATTATATATTATTATTATAATTAGGCGAAAAATGTCACCACTAAGTATATTGTAACACAAACTGAAATCTAAATAAACTATTTTATTTACAAAGATATATTTGCGTTTCTATTAATATACGATTTTTTTAACAGTACCCAGTTGTTTTGTACTTAGATTTTAATCTTTGCAAAATTTATACTAGTGCGTAAAAAATAAAAATTGCGCATTGATAAAGTTGGTAATATCCCTAGATATCCCCAAGTGCACTGTAAGCTTTCGTGCTTTCAAGTATGATTAGTTGCCTACCTGACATTAGTTAACAGCAGCTTTTGGAGCGCTTTGCGCTTGTAAACAAGAAAAAAAAGCGACGCAGGTGTTAAAACTGTTTACCCTCATCAAATGTAGACTTTAATTAACAACTGAGCCCTTAACCATGTGCGTTGTAATTTAAACAAGAGTGCACCTGTCGTGCGTGTTTTGTTTTGCGTGTTTAGACGAAGCTTTCGGCGAGCTTCTTTGGGTTTTTAGTGCGTGGAGGTTATGTGCGACTTTTTAAAATGGTCTTCAACCGAAAACGCAAAGATAATAGGTCGTCCAGTTTTATACTGGACGATAGCCCGAAAAGGTAACATCGCTTTTACGCACTACTTTTGTTTCCAATTTTACGTTGTATTTTCTCTATTCTATTTTTAGGACAAAAGTCCAAGCACAAAGGAAATTTGCCCAAACCTCAAACATAAATTCACCAGTACTCACTCCTGTGACAGAGATTGAAATCCAGGAAAAAGTGATGCCAGAGCCTATTGAGTTGCTACCAATGAAGAGACCCAATACTGAAGACTTCTTGACCTTTTTATGTTTTCGCGGCACACCTGCATTGCCTCAGAGCTTGAGCTTTTTTAATAATGCTGCAATGACTGAGGGTCCACCGCCGATTTCGGAATCGCCTGGATCGAGCAAAAATGGCGTTATTCTGCCGGCAAACATTGGTAAAGCTCAGGGTGATAAACCGTTCATTGCTTTCGGAGTAAGGAAGCGCGCCGATCCTGTTGTGGTTTCAAGACACATGGATAAGAAGCGTCGGCATGCATTGGCATTACAAGCACTGAGGAGGAAATATCAGGAGCAAAAGATGGCAAAAATCCGAGCCATAACAATTAGTAAACTATCAGAAAAAGTTCACACGAATAAAACTGTGGTGCGAACAACACGGAGCATCACCAAAGCGGAGCCGGTTACAAAGAAGAATGTCGCGCAGAAAACTAAAATCACTGTAGTCGCAACGAAACATGTCAAAGTCACAACAAGAAGGTCGAGTATTCAGCAAACTAACAGCACCGCAAACATTAAACAAAAGATGACGCTGAGGAATCTCAGGAATCGTGTGGTTAAACGAGAAATTAAAAAAATCGCCAACACAAAGGGAAACATCAAAGAAAATTTAAAAAATAAGAATTCAATAAAAGCAGTTGACGAATTGGAAGAGGAAGAAGTTGAAGAAGAAGAAGAGAACCAAGAAGATGAAGAGGATGAAGATGATGAGGAATATTCCACAGATAATTCAGAAGAATCTCAGGAGGAAACACCGCCCCAGAAGAAATTGCCAGAGAGGAAAAATCAAAATTTAAGGGTGACGCGGTCGAATATTCTACAAAATAAGCGCATCTTAATACGGCAACAGAATCTAAAAGGGTCGCCAACCTCTCCAAGGTTGAGAAGTCAACTAAGAAGGAAAATTTTGCAAGGAAAAACTGAACTGAACGTGCCTAAGCGAAGAATTTTAACTAGAAAAGTGCAGATCAAAACAAAAACAATTGCAAAGAAAGTGCAGACTAAGACTAAGGATAAAGTTGAGAAATCAGAGAAGAGTGACACTAAGGCTGATGTGAAAGTTGAAGCGAAAGAGTCGCCGGGAGCCAATACCCGAGAAAATGTACGAAAAAAGCAGGAAATATTAAATTCTCTTAAGAAGGATGCAAAAACTAAGAGAATTATCAAAGGTAAAGTTAAAGTTGAAGAGGATAAACCAAAAGTAATAAAGAAAATTGAAGCAAATAAGAAAACGGAAGAAAAAACTAAAAAGTTACCTGAAACAAAAGTGAAAAAGGAAAAGATTGAAGACAAAGATGAAGCAAATAAAAAATCAACTAACAAAAGTGAGAAAAATACACCTGATGAAAAATCTAAAAAGGAAGAAACTCCGGAGAAAAAGGTGAAGAAAACTGAAAAGAAAACAAAAGACACCAAGAAAGTCACCGATGATGAAAAACCTAAGGAATCACCAATTTTAAAGAAGACACCCGCAAAAAAAGCTGATCAAACCGTGAATGTGAAAAGTCCTGTGTCAGAAACAAAGAATGACACAGAGAATAAAACAGTTAGTAGTGTAAACAAATCTAATAAAAGTATACAAAAACAAGAAAATAGCAGTATTCAAGAGAAGCCTGAAAAAGTGACCAACAAAAAGAATAATGATGACAAATTGACGAAAAATGTGAAAGCTAAGGAACCCAAAGAGAAAGAAAAATTGGATATTGATAAAACGGACATTTCCAAAATACCAATACTACCAATAATTGAAAATAATAAATTTATTGTTGGTAAAGGAATCGTTATTGAAGAAATAGCTCCATTTAAACCAGTGCCGGAAATAAAGCAAATTGAAAAATTAACAGAAAAATGTGATAAAGTGGAAAAAGCTGAAAAAGTAGACAAACCTTTAAGTCCCAAATTTAACAAAAAGGTTGATAAAGTAGAGAAAAAGGAAAAACAAGAGAAACAAGACAAAACATTGTGTGAAAAAGTAGATAAAACACCTACAGCAAAGAAAGTAAGTGACAAATCTAACGAAACTTGTGATAAAGTTGAAAAGAAAACTGAAACTTCGACGATTCGAGAGAGGCCAGCGCGCAAAACAAAGTTAGCAGCCGCAATTTACATGGAAATCCTAGGTAGAAAGTTGGTGAACGATGATGATGTTGATAATATGTCTATCGATAGTTTTCCGGAGCTACCAAACGTTCGCAAAATGGAGCAGAGAGAAAACGAACTAAAATTAAAAGCAAAAATGAAAACAACAGCCAAGAAAGCAGCAAATTCTCCTGCAAAAGTAGACAAAACCGAAAAAATTGATAAATTAGACAAGAAGCGTAAAGATTGCGAATCAGAAACGGAAACAACCAAATCCAAACCAGAATTACTTGATAAAACGTCATCAAAAAGTTTAGTATCTCCAAAAAATCAACAAGGATCACCAACGAAGAATTCATCTGCAAACTTTTCAGATTCTGACTCTGAGAAACTAATTCTTAAAAAGTTAAAGAAGCAAAAGCTAGATGCAGCTGAAACTGTGCAGGCTGTACCCAAGAAGACAATGACAAAGAAAAAGACCAAGAAATTGGATGATACATTCAGTTTCAGTGAATCGGATGAAGAACCACTGGTGAAACTTACACAGAAAGCTTCTGAAAATGAAAAGTCTAAGAGTGAAGCAGAAAGCACAGTAAAACAAAAGAGAGAGTGTGCAAAGCGGCCGCAGAATTACTTACCTTTATTTTCTACTTCCGATGAAGAGGAGAAGTTCTTCAAGAATGAGAGACCATTGATGAAGAAGAAAGTTGCAAAGACTGAAGTTCCAGCTGCTGCACAAGAAGTCCTGCTTTCTTCAAAAGATATTGGTAAAAGGTATGTCACGACACTTATGTTTTAGTTAATAAATTAGTTACCGAACACACCATGTAGTTTAATTGCTTGTTGTACACGCTACACTCTTTGGTTATATATAAACAAAATATTAGTTTGTTAGTTTATGGTAAATGATATGCAACCAAGTACACTTCTAAGCTATGGTTAATATTTTCAGATTTGGAAAAGGAAAAGTTAATATGTCTAATGAACAAATCGAAAAATGGCTTAACGACAGTGCAATGGCCGGTGTTATGGTAATCAAAGCTGAAAATGATGAAATGCTAAAGTTCGGCGAGCGTATACCAACGGAAACTTCACTTGATAACAACTTAAGCACACTCAACATGGAACATTTGAAAAATTCGTTACTCAAAGAAGAAATAACGAAAACTGCGCCGATTTTAATTTCCTCCGTGCATACTACACCAGAAAAATCGACTACTAGTTCCCAGAAACCTTTATCAAATGAAAAGAAGACTATTTTCCGTAAAGCAGAACAAATCTCAAAGAACTCCAATGCATTCTCAGCGTGTAACGAAAGCAGTGTGTATGCTTTCGAAGCTGATAATGAAGATTCAGTAAGCACACCGTTTCGAAGACCATCAAGAAGACCCAGTAGTACAGCCACGAGCAGATCAGAAGACGATCCTAATCCTATTAATCGATTAAATTTAGGATTAGGTTTGGGTCTTGATCGCCTGGAAACCGAACAGAAAAAGTTCCGTTTGCCTACGACAATGGCGACAACTTCCAATATGGCGTCAGTGCCGACTACATCTGCAGTGGGGAATAAAACAAAAGAAGTTTCACTTATGTTAACGGATGAATCGAATACCAGTGGACCAATTACAGTCCAAGTAAATCTCGAATCCACAGACAATGAACCTGCAGGTCAGGGTGACAATGAGCACATGTTTTATTTACCCTTCCAGCCGGGATCCAAAGGTGCGGCTGGTAGTAATATTCAAGGCGTTGCTATAAAGATGGGCACCGAATCGAACAACCAGAAAGTTGTAATGAGCGCAAAACTAGTGCGACACAATTCTTCTGGAAGTCTAAACTTGCAATCGACACCAATGTTCCCACCATCTAGTCCAAATATGTTTAAGAAGACGGAGAGATCCAAACAGCCATGTTGTAGTATGAGTGAAACATCAGATTCGGGTGATTTTAAATATAAAGTCCCCAGCTCGCCGAGTGCAAGCTCATCTTCATCAGCGAAATTAGTCAATAAAAGAGCAAAACAAGTTAATGAGGATTTGTACAAACCGGTAAACGATACAGACTTTCCGAATATGTTGAATGATGCGAAGATTGTTGAGGCGCCGGTGTTTCATCCAACGGAAAAGAGTTTGTGGATCCGTTAGAGTACATTGAGAAAATCCGAGAAAAGGCGGAGCGGTTTGGTGTATGCAGGATTGTTCCGCCGGGAAATTTCAAACCTGAATGTAAAGTGTTGGATGAGATGCGGTTTACTGCTTATAATCAGTATGTGCATAAGATGATGCATAGATGGGGGCCTAACTTTCGGGAATTGGTTGCCATTCGGAAATATTTGGCTACGCAGAGTATTAGCTTAAAACATCCACCATGGGTAAGTTATTCCTAAAACAAAATAAGAAATAATAATAATTTAATCTGATATTTTTAGATTGGAGGGATTGAAGTAGATTTACCGAAACTTTATCAAACTGTGCAAATCCTCGGTGGACTGAAAGAGGTAATCGAAAAGAAAAAATGGCCGCGCGTATCGGAACTAATGAAGATTCCCAAATCTGCTCAAGATCGCGTCACAAAGCTTGACGACATGTATTGTAAATATCTCCTACCCTATGACACATTATCACCTGGTAAGTAATATAAATCATCTTTAAAAATAAAAGTTTATCATTACTAAATTTATTAGACGAAAGAGAAAAATTATTCGCGCAAGTCGAAGCCGATTGGGCGAAGCGTGAAGCAAAAATGCTTGAAAAAGCTAAAAATGGCACCCAGATCCTGGATGAGCCTGAGCCCGAAGATGAAGAAGACGAGGAAGATGAAGAAGAGTCCGAAAGTGAAGCCGATATTGAATGCATTGTTAAAGGGCGCAGTATGGCACTCAGCGCATTCTATCGCATTGCCCGCAATACAATGGCGATGTGGTTCAAAGAAGGCGAGCCAACAGCGCAAGAAGTCGAGGAAGAATTCTGGAAGCATGTTGTGGAGCGTCAGCATCACATTTGCGTGCATTCTGGATCCATAGACTCGGGAAACTTTGGTTATGGCTTTGCAGTTTCCAAAAACAGTCCTTTCGCGAGACACGCGTGGAATTTAAAAGTCTTAACCAATAACAGCGGGTCTATATTGAGATCAATGGGGCCGGTAATGGGTTTAACAGTACCTACACTTCATGTGGGAATGCTGTACGCTGGATGTTGCTGGTACAGAGACCCGCATAGTCTACCGTGGATTGAATACTTACACACAGGAGCGAATAAGATCTGGTATGGTATACCGGACTCGATGAGTGACAAGTTCCACGAAACAATGGTCAAACTAGTTCCGCATTACTGTTTGAATAAAAGCCTATGGCTACCAACCGATACAGTAATGGTTCCACCATCTACCCTGGTAGATCATGGAGTATCTTTAACTAAGACCCTGCAGGAACCAGGACAATTTGTTGTTGTTTTCCCAAAAGCATTTACTTCGAATATCTGCGCGGGTTATGTAGTCTCGGAGAGTGTGTTCTGGGCACCACCTGATTGGTTATCCTGTGCTGATAAAGTATTCCTGGAGTTACGGAATAGTTGCGAGCCGTCAATGTTTTCCTACGAAAGGTTATTGTTAAGTATGGCACAGGATCCAAGAAGTGATGTTAAGGTTCTAAAAGGATTATTCCCCAATTGAGCGGATGATCGAACGCGAAAAGAAAGAGCGAGCTAAGATTAAGGAAATGGGCATCAAGAAGACTGAAAGGTTGCCTTTATTGGACGCGAAGCGCAAGAAGAAGATGCAGGACACGGACACTGAGTATATCTGTGAGGACTGCAGGTGGAATTTGTATTGTACAATGGTAAATTATTTAACATTTAAATGTTAAAATATGATGTTAATGATTTAAATTTTAGATTTGTGATAGTCCAGATAACGGTTACTATTGCCTGGAGCATGCGATCGAAAACATTCAAGAAAAGCGTATCGAATTGGAGAATCTTAAATTAATGTATACGTACGACGATAACGAGCTGGAGAATTTCGTGGCGAAAATCCACGCCGCCATCGAAGCGAAACTGATAAAGAAAGTAGGCGGAAAGTTTTCGGGAATGGCGACGCTTCTAAATCGGTAAATTACAAATTTTAATAGAAAACTATTTTTACGATGAACGCGAGAATATATTTTCGGACACATTTTATGGTTAGAACGGTTATTAATATTGGAGCGCTTTCTAGACGCCATGCTACGCAATGATTTATGCATAAATGTACAAACAAATGATGAATACGTAGATGATAATAATTTATGAATAAATTACTTTAAAAAAACCATCGAGCGTCTTCCGTGTATTGGTGAATATCTAATATATATTTATATTTATTTCTTCTGTGTATGTGATTACATAGATATATGCAATATGCAAAAGATAAAAACCACAGACAGTAAACCAAACGCGTATCCTAGATAATTTCTTCCAGCTTGCGTAAACTTTAAGATCATCAAAAAATAAAATAAATCTATATCACTAGGAGCATATCAACGTGTAAGCGAAGTTTATAGACAAATCAAAACCCATTCTAATTACTTTTTAAGTTAATTAATCTCGAGACGCCTACATTGAGATTTAGTTATGTTCAGCCAGGCAGCTGACAACACAAATATTTGCAATTTAAAGGTCATTGTTGACTTACTGCACCAATTCTGAAATCACCCTGTGTACATCGTCGTTGTACCGCGCCAGCAGTGTGGCGTTGAGGTCTCGATTCAAGAAGCCCATCTCGGCGAGAATTTTCAATCCATTCTCGCGCTTTGTGTTCTCACCTTCGGCCACCCAGTGACCGTTCACCCATTTTCCATTCTACACAGCAATAAAGTCCAAAACAGTCATATTTTTGTTACAAATAAGTGAAAATTATCTTACCCCTGTATTTAAAACCATATTAACAACATTCCTTACACTACCCATGGCAGTGCCAGCCATAATAGCTGCCTCAGTCATGATATTCTCCCTTTTACCTGGATGTCCCACCGAGGGACGATAAACCCTTCCGTTAAACTTCTGTGTGTGTACTTCGGTTGTCGCAGATGCTCTCGCCCTCGACGTATCTTTCAATTGTATACGCGGCGTATCCCCACTCTCCGGCGCCATCTTGATAGTCGAAGATGTGTAAGTCATAGATGGCGTCGCAGTCGTATGTGGCATAGCCAAATGTGACATCTCTGCACTTGATGCAGATGATACTGATTCCGAACGTTGCGTCGCAACTTCATCAATTTTCGGCCTGTTCGAAGAAGGTACATATTCCTTGGACTCACTCATGCGCATTCTACAAATATCACCCTGACCTGGAAGGCTCGAATGCCCCTCCTGATAATAATTCGACTCGCTTGTTGGCGGAAACTGAAAACCGTCCTTCATTGAAAAATACTCTTCACCTTCATAACTGCACATCGATGCCGAATCTGTTTTCGGAATCGATGCGCTGTTTGAAGCATCATCGGCGGGATAAACCACCTCAAAGCCAGGACTATGACGTGGGAATACAAACAATCTCTTCGATTCCTGTGACGAGGTACTCGCCTGTCGTGAACAAGCCTGTGATGCACCTTCAGCAAGCACCACTTCGTTGGAAGCCTTCGATGAAATACTCATACTACCTGAACTGTGTGAAGATGGTGTGCATTTTTCTGCCTCGTTAAAGTACTCCGCACGCAAGTAATCCTTGTGAAACGGATATTTCTCCCCGTTGTAGTAAATATACGCGTATTCAGAATATTCAGGGTCAACATCCGCCATTTTGATTTCTCGCAACTCCTCTTCGACATCATCCGTATTATGTTCGGATTTAGCCTCTGACGCAACCGATACCGCATCATTTACTCCTGATTCACCTGCAACTTGTACATCATCCGCGATTGGAATCTCAACTTCAACATTATTCGAAGCATTCTCTTGTTGTTGCAACTGATTTGAGGTTAGAACATCCTGGCTACTTGAAACTGTAACATCAACGCGATCTATTTCATTAGTATTAGCGGTTGTAGTAGTATCAGGTGATGGGATGAGAACATAATCAGAACTGCCTGAATGAGGAGTTTGTGCTCCCGATAGCATACTGACATTATCCGAATCTGAACTTGGTTCACAATTGGATGTGTAATCCAAATTGTTTGTGCTCGTTTCAACCAGCACAAGTTCATTTAAACTTTGCGAGATATCACTCTCCTTGCTTTCTTCGCGTTGAAGTTGTACGGGCGCCTGTGACTGGCAAGGAATTTCAATGCCCATGTTACTCAAATCGATTGGATCCAACTGCGCAGCGGTGAGTAAAGTGTCAACGGTTGGGATACAGGCATGTGGCATAATTTGAAGCGGTTGTGTATCATAGGCAGACTGTTGCTGTCGCGGATAGTCAATAACATTCAACTGGCAACCGATCCAGCGACCAAAACGCCGACCGCAATCATAGAAGTGCCAGAAACATTCATACGAACCAGGAGTAGCTGTTGATTTCAATCAAATTCATATTTTTGTTTTCCTTGGCACAGAAAAACAATGTACTTACATGGAATTTGGAACCAGATGGAAATTTCACCCTTTTCGCCCGGTTGAAGTTCCGGACATTTGAGAATCGTGAACGTAGGTCGGAGTTTTTCCGATCCCCACGCATAACGCAACTCAGTCTAAGGAAAATTATTCAAAATAGCGTAAATCATGTTTTTAGTTTTAAACTTAAAGATAAAACTTACGCGTTCGTCCCAAGCACTAATCCCCGAATTAGTCACCTCCCACTTTTGAAGATACACCGAATTGGTATACAACGGACCAGCCGTTTTATCACTCGATGAATTCAAGATGACATCGTTTAACGGTGGCGTAGGATCAGTAAAGAAGAAATTCATCGGTTTCGGAGCCGCTTTTGCTTTGGATTCTTTGGCGACGTCGCTGTCGCTCGAGACTTTAATCGCGGTGAGTTTCTTTGCTTTGGTTTTCTGTGATGGGCGCTGTTCATCCAGTTTGAACGCATATTTCTTGCACATATCCTTACTTTAATTCAAATTTAAAAAAAAAAATTAATATAAATTTATTTTTATTTAAGTTTATTGGTGATATTAACTTACTCCAAAACTTTAGTGAACTCAAACTTTCTGGATCGTTTGTATGATTCAGGCTGAGCGTTCTTGGATCGTGAAGGATGTGAATGCTGACATGTGTTTTGCATCTTTGAACTTATCAGAGCAAACTGCTGTTTCATATCTTCCATCATTTGCTTCTTAAACTAATCACAAATAAAAATAAAAATTAATTAAAGTAAACTTGTAATGCAAGAAATAATAATGAAGTATTATTACCTTCTTCATGTGCTTAGTAAACCATTTGGGAGGAATATCATCATCCTGCTGTAGGCTTGCTGGCTGTGTAGCTTCATCCTTGTATTCTTGTGTTTGAATCTCAGCATCGGAGCTTTGAATTAACGGTGTGATAGGTTTGCGCGAGTTAACTTTATCCACGATAAGAGTGATAATTTCCCCGATTCGAGCGCGACGCCTAAACGAATACAACGCGAGTTGAAAATCATTCTGACTGTTGATGGCAATCTCTTTCTCATCCGAATCAATGTAGGATACTTTGATATCAGTGGCGTTGCTTCCTGAATTTTTCAACTGTATACACACATATAATTAATAAAATATAATGAGTCAAGCATGACATGTGCACATTGATAATTTATGATTGACTCACCAAATACGATTTAAATGTCTCCCAATTCAATGTCGTCGACGGAATGTCGTACATTCCGACGATATTCGCCCTGTCGTCGCTCTGATGCGGCCTGCTGCGCCATAACAGATTGTAGACGATTTCCAGATCACGCGACTTCGGATACATTATCACCGCGGAAATTTTCTGCGCCGATTAGAGGTAATTTTCGAGCTGCAAGAAGCAGGCCTACGACGCCATAGCTAACAAAACAATAACACAGATGACGAACGACGTTTCTGCTTCGATGCTATGATGTAAATGTCTGCAATCGACTGCGCCTGCACCGTTGACGGCATTCACCGTTGCACTTCGCACTGCAACTGTATTTATAACTTGCATATATTGGTTTAAAGGAAAGTCGCGATAATGCTTACACTCGTAACTCTACCGATGTTTATTTAATACTGATTGGAGTCAAAGGTTCACGCACTCCTACCACAGCAGACAAAGAAATCGAGGCGAAATCAGAACACTAGGAGCAGATGGATGTAAACATCACTGTCACAGTAAACATTCCAGCAGGAACACATGCATGGCGCATAGCGCATGCGCTCTTGTGTAACTACGCAGTTCTAATTCATAGGGACTTTCGTAAGTTTGTTTTAAGTTGGCTATTTGTTAGAAATTTTAAATTTTTTTAAACATAATTATATTATTTTAGTATGGAATAATGGTTTGTTGAATTTTAATTGAATTGTTTTTTGCACTGCTGAGTCATTTTGTTGTTACACCAAGTGTTGAAAAGGTATTTATATTCGAAAATAAGTATTATTTCAGTTATTAAGTTAAAAATCACGTAATTTTAAAATATTCTAGACATAAACATATTTTTGTAATACATATAATTATTTTTATAATGCAAATTATAACTGTAATAAATAGTTTAAATTCTTAAGTCGCTTTGTATAAGCAATCACAGCGGAAGTCAACTTTTTACGCATTTTATGCGCTAAAACATTTCAGCGTTTTAGATTTCGTGTAATTAACTATGCTTAAACTCGAAATTAACAACAAATGTTAATGGTAATAATTCGCATCATTATGGTCAATGCCCAAAAAACAACATTACATAAAAACGAGTATCTACGTAAAACAGAAAAAAAAAGCGTTACATAAACTTTAAACCTCGATCGTTCAAACCCGCGCTGCCGAACTCAGATCCCAGTTTGCTCTGCGATACACAGTACTACTTTTATTTTTATACGAACACCTATTCTGAAAGTTTATAAATAAAAACTCGATAATTATTTGCGGCAGTTTGCGATTTGTAGTACAAAGGAACACCGAAGTTTTAAGGTTAGAACCTGAAAGCAGCAGAAGATACTGAAGTGGCCTGAAAAAACTTAATAAAGATATATCAAGAATAATCTAGTCAAAGCAACAAATTGGAGGAGTAAAAATGTCTTACGAAGCAAGACTGATGGTACTCGAGGCTATTTCGGATTTTTTGAGCGTCATCACCATCGCAACTTGTTTTATTCAAAAGATTCCCCAGGTGATCAACATTGTTCGAGTTAAAAATGCAAGGGGCATTAATTTGACTGGACTTATCATGGAATTATGCAGGTAAACGCATTAGATTCATATTCCTTACGTTAAAATAAACTTTTCTAAGTTTAAAAATAAAATTAAAATTATTTACTATGAATATTTGTTAATTTTTAGTTACACAATCATGTTCTCCTACAATTACCGCCATGGCTATGCATTATTATCTTACATGGAGTATCCTATCATCTTGGCCCAGCAAATGGTTTTAATATTATTTGTCTTATACTACAATGGAAGTTTTAATATGGCAAGTTCAGTTGGAGCCTGCATATACTTCTGTTTTGCTGCTGGTTTCTTATCAGGAATTTTACCCAGAGAATTATTGATATTCCTTGTTGTAAGTTCAACTTATTTATTTAATATTTTGTTTTATTAATATTACATGTTTATTTACAGCCAATGTGTACCCCAATTGGAGCCTCTGCAAAAGTTGTCCAACTGTTTGAAATCCTCAAAACAAAGGAATCTGAATCAATTAGTTTACTCACCTGGAGTATATCAGCATTTACAAACTTCAGTAAGTACTTTTACTATTATTCTATTGTATGACTATAATAATTTTATCATTTTCAGCACGAATCTTCACGATTTTGATCGACTCGGCCGATACAACTTTGCTGCTAAACTTCACGGTTAATACGTTCCTCAGCAGTTCTGTTCTAGCTGCTGCATACTATTTCAAACCGAAAGATCTTGAAAAACTTAAAAAACCTGAATGAAAAGTTTGAATTGTTCGTCGCATTTAATCAATGCACTTTCATTCAATGAATTTTGGCAAATTAGGAATGTTTCATATTGAATTCATGTTAGATTCAAAGTAGAATCAAAAGATCTGTAATTGTAACTTATAAAGACATACTTGTGCCAAGAATATGCGTCAAAAGTGATAGAAATAGTCGTACATTCGAAAAGTGTCAATATATAGACACGAATTACAGTAAAAGACATAAAAATAATTTAATATCAGTCAATAGTGATTACACGTTGCAGTTCGAAACGATAAAAGACTATTTTTAATTTATTTTTTAATTACTTTCAATATTACCGGTGGGTTGACTCTCCGATAATTGCCGTTATCAGTATCTGCATTAATTAAATTCGACTCAACACCGAGATTGATTCATCGCGCAAATATATTTTTATTGTTTTATTTATAGTCATATTTCAGATGAGGCTATTTTTGTTATATTTTCAATTTGTTATTTAAGTCTAAGTTGTTCAAGTTTTGTTCAAGTTTTAACACTTCACAATAATCATTTTATTTGCAATAATTTCTGTGATAAGAAAACTGCATATTATTGTCATTGAAATTCGTAATACAATAAGAACGTATGTTAAACTTTAAATACCCACGTAATTTTTATGGTAGAATTTTATGGAATGTTGATTATTGTGTAATTCTAGTAATGTTAGTGAATGTTATGTTGCTAAGTTTGTAAAGTAACGAATTGTTGCATAAAATATTCAGGAGGAAAGAATAAAGCTATAAAATTGACAAATTATTTGGAAATTTCAACTAATAACAACTAAATAGCAATTAATTAATTAAATAGCAAATTAAGTTAAATATTAAACATGTGAGTGAAAATAATCAACTTGACATGCTTACAAATTACTTACTGCATAGTTAACTGTTTTTGATGAATATATTTAATTAAAACATCGTTAATGATTTAAAAATGCAAAAAAAAACTAAATAATTACCTTCCCTTATCGAAAAAATAATTTTAGCCCAATAAGAATATTGTTCCTTGCACGCTTGAGATAAATTCTATAAAAATCACAGAAGAACGATATTATCTTCTCATCGTTGGGCTAAATTCGAAAACGATAACCCTCCGAGGGTCCCTTTTTTTCTTCTCGCCTTTCTGCCCTTTTCTCTCCCATCACAATTCTTGTCTCATCTCATCACAAGCCAAAGCTCAACAGCTAATCTCCCAAGTTCCCTCCGAGCGGGAAAAAGTGGGGATAAGTCTCTTTACAGGGTCAAACTAACAAATTGTTTAACAAAAATTAATTAATTCCAAAGAAAGTGTGTGAAATAATCTAACAAAACGTAATTATGTCGTTTTTATAATAGAAAAAATAAATTATATATTTGAGTAGAGCAATATCCCGACTTAAAAGTTAAAAATTCTTACCCCAGCCCTGTCTTATAACTTAAGCAACCATTCCATGCCTCCCTTGGGCCTTGAAGCTCGAAACCGCTTCATCTCACCCAATCTCATCATCTCTCCGTCTCCACATGCCGGTTTCAGTTTTCAGTCTCATCCAAGTCTCGTCTGAATGCAAAAGTGCTTAACATAAGTATAGTTACACTGTTGCACTTGTTCCACTGCTCCATTCGTGTGCACATGTGTGTGTGAATGTACTTAGTATCCACTATCTACTACAGAGCTTACGCTTAGAGCTTTTATTACTATCGATGCGTTCGGCTTAAGCTCAGTCGCAGTGCTCAGTTGCGCTGGTGACTTTGCTTCGTGAAGATGTTTGCGCGTCGTCGCGGCCGCACGCCGGCGTGCGTGTTGTCTATCGCGCTGATTGCGTTTGGTGCTTGTGCGTTGGGGGCAAGCGCGCAAAAAGCCGAAAACAAAACTTATCTGACACCCCCGTACTTTAATCTCGCCGAAGGGCGCAAAGTGTATGCGTCGGCCACGTGCGGCGAGGATACCGAAGGCCCCGAGCTTTACTGTAAACTTGTTGGTCCCACAAACTCCGAGAACGATGTGAATGTTAATGTTATTCATGGACAGGTAAATATTTTCAAATTTTTAATTTCGAAAAATTTTCCAGCCGAAAATTTAAGTGCAGACTTTGTGAATGTAAAAATATATTTTGCATCGTATTGAAATTTGAAACCTATGTAACTTTAAACGTTTAGCAAATTTTGTTACCTCGACAATTATTATCGACAAATATTCAAATTAGTTACATGTACTATTTTATATATAAACTATATTTTTTCTTATCACGCATTATAGTTTATTAACCTCGCTGTTCCCAGTTTTATTCACTTGCGCTTTTAATGATTCCAATAAGCGAAAGTTTCAAAGTTTAAAAATAAAGGTTTGACCTGCATATGATAAGAAAAAAGCGATCGGTCAAAGTTAAGTCAACCGTTTTTGGTTGATAAGAAGACTAAATTTAAACAATTGAAGTCTTTCATTAAGTTGCAACCAATTCTACTATGTCAGCATGAAATATCTTCTACACATGAATTAAACATGAATAATTCTCTGTTTTATAGCACTGCGATTATTGCGATCCCACTCGTCCGGATAAACAACATCCGCCTGAATTCGCCGTCAACGGACGTGAAACATGGTGGCAATCACCGCCCCTTTCCAGGGGGATGAAATACAACGAAGTCAACTTGACCATCGATTTGGGACAGGTAAATAACTATGGTTATGTTATGATGTAATGCGCATGCGCAGTAGTTCTCGCATGTGTCATATTTGATATTATATTTAATTTTCTTAAATTTTGTATTTACTCTTTCTTTATCGATGCCTAAAATGGTGAATTTTACAAAATTTAAATTTCTAAAATTTCTCACTTCATTCATGCCCATTCATGACAAATTTCTTTGCCGTTCATCTTGCCGTTGTCCACGTACGATATCCTCAGCTATTTGTAGTAGGCAGTACTCGGAATTCGCACTATTAGTACGCTTTGAAACTACATTTATAACTTTTATGGCTTTATAAACCTGCAAGCTAAGAATGGCGGTCTTAAGGAACTGAAACTTATTATAAAGCACGACACAAGTCACAAACACGTTTGTCAATTGCGGTGGAATATTCAAGTCACAAGCCGATGAAGTCAATTCGAATAGTCGTTGCTGGTCATTGCAATCGTAAAGTGGGTTTTACTGCTAATAACTATTCTACTGGTTGTTACATGAACTCAAGTTGTAAAAAAGATACGCAAGATTTACCGTAGCTTCCGGCATTGCGGATGAATGTTTTCATTTAGGAAATGGATGGCAAGAAATTTCAATTGTTATTTATAGTAATACGTCGTTGATTTACTATTTCAACGCCTGTTACGACAAAATAAGAAAAAAGGGAAAATAGACAAGTCAAGTCAACAACCCCAAGAGTAAGTACACGCAAGCTTGTAATACCCTCGGACAAAACAGTAAACAGTGAACTGCGATCACTTTCAAAGAGACAATTGCTTGTCGTTTACGTGACTTCAAACTTTAACATGCCATGCGGTCCCTAGTTTCGTTCACATCAACATTAAATTTTCGAGTGAACGAAAATGTGGTAAACATCTGTTCGAAACGTTCTTTCTCTGCACCTTTAACATAACCGAGATAATTTGAGGAAATTTTAGTTATTTATTTATTGGTATTTAAGTTTTATGTGCAAGAATTTATCTTAATACACGTTTTTTAATCATTAAGATAGGTTAATAAAGATGGCAGTCATTATAACCTATAATTTTTAACTACAAACTATAAGTACGACGAAAATGAGAGTTGTATTTTGCTGCTTAAGCAGAAAACTCTTATTAATCATTTAATTTCTGAAAAATTATATTCATACACGAAATAAAACTGAATGAAGTGTAAAGTTTGTTTTGTATCTTATCAAAGTCCTGCTTTGATTTGAACGTTTGGGGACATCCATGTCACGCTCTAATATTAGGGTCACTTTGTTACAAAACACGATTGCTCGTCTGTTACAAGCTTGTAGGCGTTAATTTCCTGACGAAAATATTTATCGCACAACCCACCACTTCATCCGCCATGATAATAGTAGAATTAAAAAAAAAACCTTTTTTTTAAATTACGAAATAATAATGAAACAAAATTTAAAAATATTTAATTGTTTACCTCTAGGAATTTCACGTGGCTTATGTCTACGTACGAATGGGCAACTCCCCGCGACCTGGCCTTTGGGTTCTAGAAAAATCCGCCGATTATGGAAAGTCTTTCGTACCATGGCAATATTTTGCCGAGACAACATCAGACTGTTCTGCCTTCTTTGGAGAAGAATCTTTGTTACCTATTACCAAAGATGACAGCATCATCTGTACGACAGACTTTTCTCGTATTGTACCACTTGAAGGCGGCGAAATTCCAATTTCTCTGCTTAACAATCGCCCTTCCGCTAACAACTACTTCAACTCCAGTGTGTTACAAGAATGGACGCGTGCCACCAATGTACGTCTGCGCTTATTACGAACCAAAAATCTCCTGGGACACTTGATGTCTGTCACAAAACAAGATCCAACTGTAACAAGAAGATACTTCTATTCAATTAAAGATATTAGTATTGGAGGGCGTTGTATGTGTAACGGCCATGCAGATTCATGCGACAATAGAGATTCAACCGACCCCGCCATCTTGGTCTGTTTGTGCAGACACAATACATGTGGACCAAAGTGCGATCGTTGTTGTCCTGGCTTCGAACAGAAAGCGTGGAGATTGCGAAAAGAATCGGACCCATTCGAATGTGAACGTAATAAATACAGCGCCATTTTGTTTACTTCAGTTGATTAATTGATTAATATTACAGCTTGCAATTGTTTCAACCACAGTAACGAATGCATCTACGATGAAGAAGTAGACAAGAAGGGAGAATCAATTGATATACATGGAAATTATGCCGGTGGCGGTGTTTGTCAAAACTGTCGACACAATACAGAAGGCACAAATTGCAATCGATGCATGTCAAAGTTCTACAGACCACGTGGCAAAAGCTGGGACGAAATCGATGTTTGCCAACGTATGCACACAAAACTACAAACTAATCAAAATGTATAACTCATTTTATGTTCTATTCTTTAGCATGCGATTGTGAAAATTCGCATTCAACCGGAAATTGCGCTGAAGAGACCGGACAGTGTGAGTGTCGCAAAGAGTACCAAGAGCCCAATTGTGACAGGTGCAGTTTCGGATATTACGGTTACCCAAAATGTGTCGCTTGCGATTGTTTCATTAATGGAACAATAACGCAGCAATGCGAAGCAACCGATGGTATTTGCGAGTGTATGGATAATTTCGGTGGTCCACATTGTCGGGAATGCGCTGAACAATATTTCGGATTTCCAAACTGTGAACGTAAGAATTTATAACAAAAATTTAAATCATCCTGATGGTTAATATTGTTTCATTGGTTTATAGCCTGTGAGTGCAATCCATTGGGGGCTATTTCTGGCGCTTGCGACAAGTCTTCCGGAAACTGCACCTGCAAATCCAACTACGGTGGAAAACGATGCGAACAATGTCGTGATGCCTACTTTAATTACCCATCTTGCACGTGTAAGTACCAGAAACAATGTAGAGTTACTCAAAAAATTATGTTTGCTTTATTTTACTAGTGTGTAACTGTGACACGGAGGGCACTGTAGGAGAAGTCTGCGATAAAACCAATGGTAAATGCATTTGTAAGCTAGGATATACTGGAGAAAGATGTGACCAGTGCGACACCAACTATTATGGATACCCAGATTGCAAACCGTGTAACTGTAGTACTATTGGATCTTCTGCTACTACTTGTGGTGCAACCGGAAAGTGTACATGTCTCAGAGGTTTCGCTGGAAGAACGTGTGAACAATGCAGTCCTGGATATTATGCGTATCCGGAATGTTTACGTAAGTGTTAATTTAATTCAATATTCAGGCATTTTATTGCTTGATTTTCAGCTTGTGATTGTGATAGCCACGGTGCAAATGGTCTTTCTTGTAATAACGACGGTATCTGCCAATGTCATCATAACTATGAAGGCGCTAAGTGTGACCGTTGCCGAGAATCTTTCTACAACTTCCCGGCGTGTGAGGAATGTAACTGTAACCCTGCCGGTGTCATTTCCGCTTTCTTGGGATGCGGATCTGTACCCAAAGGTGAACTATGTCAATGTAAAGACCGCGTAGAAGGCCGTATATGTGACAAGTGTAAACCTCTATACTGGAATCTTAATGCCCACAATTCTGGAGGCTGTGAAGAGTGTCACTGTAACATTCCTGGTGTTGTTGGTGGGATTGCAGTTTGTAATTCGGAATCAGGCGACTGCACATGTAAACCTAATGTGGTGGCACGTAGATGTACAGAGTGCGATGACGGTACATACAACCTGCAAGAAGATAACTTATTTGGTTGTACCGACTGCGGTTGTGACGTCGGAGGTTCCATCAGCAAGATCTGCCACAAAATTTCAGGACAATGTCAATGCCAGCCGCGAATCACAGGACAAACGTGCAAAGAACCTGTGGGGATGCATTATTTCCCTACTTTATACCAACATCAATACGAAGCTGAAGATGGCCGTACTGCAGATTCAGTTGTTAGGTATGCCTTCAGCGAGGCAGATTTCCCGGACTACTCCTGGAAGGGTTATGCTAAATTTAGCCATCTGCAAAGAACTATCCTGCATGATATCAAGATCCACAAGCCTTCCTTGTACCGTGTAGTGTTGAGGTATGTCAACAAAGGGAAGGCACCTATCCAGGGTGTCGTCAAGGTGACTCCCGAGAACTCCAATGACGAGCAACAATATCCAGTGACATTCCTCAATACATCAAAACCGTCTTTTGTTACAATCAACGCTGGTAATGCACCGGTTGCTTTCGTAATGAATCCCGGCAAGTGGACCATGTCTATTCAAGCGGACAAAGGTCTGTTTTTGGATTATTTCGTAATCTTACCAGAAGAATTCTACATGGCGACCATACTCAACCAAAAAGTGTTGGAACCCTGTGTGATTGCTCCGGAGAATGACATGGACGTTGACTCAGTACCACAAACATTATGTCGCCAGTTTAAATATCCCGAGGCAAAACAATACCCTACCAGCAGAGGTTCTGGGGCGTATATTGATCTTGGAGACAATGCATTTGCAAACCCTTCGAAATTCTATGATGATGAGTATCACCTTAGGAAATTGAACCTAACAAACGTCCGGATCCCGATTGTAAGTTCTGAACAACCAGAAATTGATTACAATATAACACTGAAGAAACCCGGAAAGTATGTGTTGTTGATTAACTACATAACTCCATTGGAGAACACTGTCACCCACTATTTGAACGTGACTACCCCGACATTAGATACTAATGTGATTGAATCTTCTGCTGATGGCCATGACCAAATTGTTCTGTACAAATGCGGTTACACCACAATGTGTCGCCAAGTTGTTGTTGACCAAGACGGCATTATCAAAGTATACAACACCGACGAAAACGGCCTCCATGTAAAGTTTGCATTGGGTGGACCCAATGCGATTACAAATGGCTCGGTAGCAATCCATAGTGTCCATGCGATACCCTATAATGAATGGTCTGTAGACTACATTCAACCGAAGCCTGTTTGTATTCAAAAGAATGGTGATTGCGTAAAATCAACTTATCACAATCCCGAAGAGTCAAAGAAAATCCGATTTGATAAGAACTACGTTGATAAGAACGATACACAGTCCGGAAGATCTGGTCCCGTAATTAAAACAGTCCATGGGGTCAATTATGTTTACCTTAATCAGACAAACAACGTCATTGATATTAGGTCCAAGGTAGCCAACCCAGGATTCTACACGTTCGTCATCCATTTCTACCAACCAGATTCTCCAGAGTACGACCTTGATATTCTCATCCAGAACGGGTTTATGTACGATGCGAAACTTAGCGCTTATCACTGCCCCAAGATCTACGGATGTCGCGCAGTGGTAACACAAAAAGATGGCACCAACAAATTCTCGCTGACAGAAAACTTCATGTTGACTGTTTCATCGCCTAGTGGAAAACCCGTCCATCTTGATTACATCCTTGTGGTGCCTGCTGACCTGTACACACCTCGAATTACCGAGGAGGATGATTTCAGTAGAACGGACGAATTCATTAACACCTGTGGAAAGGACCATTTCTATATTGACACGAAAGAGAAAGGTTTCTGTCGCGATTCGGTGTTTTCTATCACAGCCGGTTACAATGCGGGCACCCTCAGATGTATGTGTGATTACGATGGGTCACTGAGCTTCGAATGTGAGAAATTCGGCGGGCAATGTCAATGCAAAGAAAACGTCATTGGACGCGACTGCTCAATCTGCAAACCAGGCTATTATGAATTCCCCGATTGCAAACCCTGTAATTGTCCCATGAGTTCCAGCAATTGCGAACCAACAACAGGTGAGTGCATCTGCCCACCGAGGGTTCACGGTGCACTATGCGACCAGTGCGTGCCACTAACTTACGGATTTGATGAATTCAGCGGATGTGAGGATTGTAAGTGTAACCCATTGGGTGTTGACGGTAGCTTGCAGTGTGACTTGTTTACCGGTGAGTGTCCGTGCAAACCAAACATCGTCGGAAGGAAATGTGACACATGTCTGGCAGGATTCTTCAGTTTTCCATACTGCCATCGGTGTGAGTGTAACATTCAGGGCACTGAAAAAGATATTTGTCACCAGGACTCTGCGGAGTGTTTCTGTAAGAAATTGGTAACTGGTCCAGCTTGTGATATTTGTGTTGAAGGCACCTACAATTTGCAAGCACACAATGAAGATGGATGTACAGAGTGCTTCTGTTTCGGAAAGACCAATCGCTGTTACGTTTCCTCTTTCCTACACCGAACAATTCGATACAGCATGGAGAATTGGGAAGTGGCCGCAATCGAAGAAAACTTTGAATCACTTAATGTGACCACGGTTAATGTAACGCTGGAACACCCTAACCATCAAGGGATCTCTTTTGAACTAGGAAAACAGGAAAAGAACCAAATTCTTTACTTCAAAGCTCCAGAGGATTATCTTGGTAACAGTCTGACTGCCTATGGAGGATGGCTAAACTATACTGTTTGGTATACGATCGGTGATGGTGGTAAAGCATTGTTGAGACCCGATGTAATCCTAGTAGGGGCAAATAACTACTTGAAGTATGACGGATTTGAACAGCCACCAGCTGATGAAGAGTTCAATACTGGCGTGCAGATTGTTGAAACCAATTTTGTGCTACCGTCGGGTGCCCCCAGCAAACGCGAACACTTGATGGTTGTACTTAAAGACCTAAAAGGCATTTACATCCGTGCTAATTATTGGTCTGTTACGGAAATTGCAAGGTTATCCAGTGTAACCTTTGATGATGCAGAAAAGGGTAAAACTAGAGACCATCAGGAAATCGCAAATACCGTCGAATACTGCGATTGCCCACCGAACTACACAGGGTTATCATGCGAAGAGTGCGCGCCTGGTTTTTACAGACTCAGCACTGGCCCACATGGTGGTTTCTGTGTTCCATGCTTATGCAATGGTCACGCGTCAGAATGTGACCTCCACACTGGAGTCTGTCTCAATTGCCAACACAACACCATCGGAGATCATTGCGATCAGTGCGCCGTTGGATATCATGGGAATGCAAAACAGGGCACTCCAATGGACTGTCTCATCTGCGCTTGTCCCCTGCCACTACTCGGCAACAACTTCGCTTCCAGCTGTGATGTTTCCTCTGATGGCGAAAAGATCCACTGTAATTGCGATGAGGGTTACCGGGGTGCTAGATGCGAAGGTTGTTCATCTGGATATTATGGACGTCCGGAGGTGCAGGGCGACTACTGCAAACCCTGCCAGTGCTCGGGTAACATTGACACTAATGATATACGTTCTTGTGATACGGTTACTGGCGAATGCTTGCAATGCTTGAACAACACCTTTGGGCCTGCATGCGCCCTGTGTGCGCCTAGTTTTTACGGCGACGCGGTGAATGCGAAGAACTGCCAGCAGTGCGTATGCGACTCGCTGGGCACGGCCGAATGTAACAGCTTTACAGGGGAATGTGTATGCAAAAAGAATGTCGTCGGCGACAAATGCGATCGCTGCGAGGAAAATCACTACGGGTATGCTTCCGGTCAAGGGTGTCAGGCGTGCGAGTGCGATGTATCTGCCATTGGACAACAGTGTGATGACATCACCGGTCAATGTAGGTGCAAACCAGGTGTTACGGAGAGGACGTGCAGCAAGTGTCAAGCTGGGTATTGGAATTTGACTTCCGAGGGTTGCATTTGTAAGTATCTCATTGGCCAACCGCACTAAACAAAACAATATTCATAATTTTGTCGTAGCATGTGGATGTCGAGATGAGTTCTCAATCGGAGTAAGTTGCAACGCTCAAACAGGACAATGCGAGTGCCTTCCGGGAGTGACCGGAGACAAATGCGATCAATGCCCACACAGGTGGGCTTTCGTCAAAGAGTATGGATGTCACGGTTGCGATAGTTGCACAGATGACCTGTTGGACTTCACTGATTATCTTTCCGGTCTTATTGACCCTATACAAGAAGAGTTCCAAGTAAGTTTCGCCAAACATTCTTAAAGGTATAAACACTAAAATTTTATATTAGACCGCAGGTACAGGTTTCTTCCAAGCCAGACGTCTAGCTCACATCAACGACACCATCACCCGTCTAACACCTAAAGTAGAAGCAATCACCCCAGATAAAGTCAACTTCAAGCCCATTCTGTCCGAATTAGATACAATGGAAAACGAGGCGAATAATATGAACCTACTCGCGAATTTCTCACTGGGCAACAGTAAGAATCTAGTAAAGAGTGCGGATGACCAGTATACCACCAGCATGAAAATGTGGGAAGAGGTGGAGATAGCCGCAGACAACGTAGACAACACTGTGGATGACATCACCAGCATGTCCGATGATCTTCTCGAGCAATTTTGTAAGTTTACCCACTTCGCTCAAAATTATACCAATATAGATGACTAAATTATTTGTTTACGTTTAGCACCAAGAATAGAAGACGCCACAAAGAGAGCCGAGAGTATACTGGATGAAATCAAACTATACAACCTCACAGAAAGGGAACAAGCCGCATACAATGCCTTGGAACAAGCTGATAATCTAATGGCTGACTTGGCCCAATTCCAAATCCCTATTGATATGTTCAGCAACCAGATTGGGCAGGTGCGCACGACCATACGGAACTTCAATGATAAACTCGACGACCTCACCAATCAAACGCAGTTCTCACTGGGCAAGAGTCAAGAAGCGAAGATCTTATATGATAACAATGGGTAAGTCACCTTTTTACATACTTAGAGATAATTAGTTTAGTTTTGGAGCAGTAAAGGTAAGTAAGAACTACCTCTTTTATATAAAGACCCTGTATAATACAGTTAACAATCAGAGTTGGTTTGCGTACAGGGTACATCACAAAGGAACCTTTCGTTTTTTTCTTTAACTGGCACATTGCCAATAAATATTCTGTACAAAAATAGACCTACGACGAGAGACATGAATGAAGTGAAGTGAGGCACTAAAAATCGTTTTACGTACGAGTATTAATCTGGTTTAAGTCCAGCAAGACATTAAAGGGTCATCAAGTCTTAATGCCTTTCACCTTCATGTCTTCTTTTACTTTCCACAACACCAGTTCCATGGCAGCGAGCGCATCCTCCGCGCTGTCATGGCCGGCAACATCATTCTGGATAATTTTCTTGAGATACTCACTAGCGAGCACTCTCAGTGCGCGCTTGTGTGGTAGGCCGAATTTATGAGGAAACATTACCGACGAATCCACTACTGAATTATGTATAATTTTCAAAGCCTTCATATCCGACTCTAACGAATGCCCGATGAGAATTGTCTTCGAACTGCACAGATGCAAAATGGTCGCTTGGATCTGTAGAATGTTCGTTGTTGTATTCTCCATATGCTCGGCGGTAATACCAGAGAAGCGCGTATTATAGTCAATGATCGGATTGAAAGGTTTCACTAAGGATTCGTAGACTGTTTTGAGCTTGGAATTGACAACGGTTACACGTGTTAGCTCCAATCCTTTCGTAGTGTAACACATTTCACAATCAAGCGCGTATACAGCATAATCCCGAGGGTCATTCTCAATTTCCGATTCGAATGTCGACTGAAATCCTTCCAGTTCTCGATCGGCGGACACCTCACTAACGTGGGTGCCGGAAACAGCACATCCAGTATCTTCGGAGCTCTTGCAACACAAATACGTTCGCTCGCCGCGTATTGTTCTTTTCCTCAGCGGATGATAACAGCACTCTTCTTCAAACAATGGAAAACCGTCGCGATTGATTGGATAAATCTTGTGACACCTGCAACACAATCGTTGATTGGGTTCCAAGTGCTCCGAAGTCGCCTGCTGCTTGTATTCCGAGTTGATTACAGCCTTTCCAGGAGTAGGTCCTTCTCGGGGAAAACCATGTTGCACTAACTCTTCCTCAGTCAACATATACCCTTTCACCAAGTCATAGAATTTGCGACCTTCAAGATACGACTCTGTTGATTTACCAGCTGTTTCCCCAAGCTGCAAAGGCCCAAGACCAGATGCCTCACGTTCGTGAACCTCTTTTCTAAGCCGATTCACAGCCAACATTGCTGAATTCCTATATGTTGGAAGAGCTTTACATCGCTCATAACATTTAAACTCTTCATTCAATGCGCGATTGTAGGCATCTTCAGTTGCAACGTATAATTTTACACATTCATCCGCCAAGAGACCTAAATAACGAGTGCGGACATTCACCGGGAGTTTTGATCGTTCTGCTTGTAGTACATCCGGAATATTCGCCAAAGACATATCAGGAACATGCGCGGTTCGCTTGCCACCTTTAGGAACAGTACACGAAAGAGTTTTACCCGTATTGATGGTCCTGTTCTTAATCTCGTCTATACGGGCTTTAGCCATTTGTATGGACATCACGTTCGAGGCGGGTGCTATTCTTCGAATTGCAGGCCTCGCTGAAACAAGCGGAGCTGGTGGAATTGTAATTCCCGCCGTCGTTGTAGACTTGGCATTTAATATATCGTCTATTACAGATGTAGATGGTGGTTGTGGTATTGGTGCAGGTGTAGGTTTAGGTTTTTCAGTTCTTGACACTCCATTAGGTCTCATCTTCTTAGCTTCTACCATAGACGATGTGTTTTGATGAGCAATTCGTTTGATGTTACGCATTTCCGCCATAATTCCGTGCGCTTCATTGTCGGCCTGAGCTTGTCGCGCAATTCGCATCCGATTATGCAGCGTCATTCCCGCGGACATGAGTGGTTTGAACGCAGGACGCGCCTTTACTTCGTCTTTCACCGCGTTGTTATATGCTATGCGTTTTTTACCGAATGAAAGCTCTTCTTTAGGTTCCGCGGCAGGCACTGTTACCTTGAGGGGTTCTGGTGGTGGGACTGCTTCAACAACTGGGGCTTTGTACTCATTGAATATTTTTAAACATTCGTCTTCGATCATCATTGAGTCCATGTCAATATCGTCATCTAGGCCAAAATCATCTTCCAGATCAGCTCCCAAATCAATTTCTGGACTGTTTTTCGAGTTTTTATCGGTTTTATGCTTAGAACTAGATGAAGATCTATGTTTGTCTTTGTTTTTATCGCGACTTTTACTTGATGATGAACTTTTGTGAGATGAGCTTTTACTTCTACTTGAGGTTGAAGAGGATGATTTTTTATTGTCTCTAGAAGATCTTGAACTACTACTACTGCTTTTTCTTTCTTTATCTTTATCCTTATCTTTGTGTCTATCAATTTTTCTGTCTTTATCCTTGTCTTTATGTCTATCTGTAGACTTGTGATCTCTAGATTTTTCTTTGTCTTTGGTATGACTCTTCTTTTTGTCTGGTGTGTAACTTAGTGCAGCAATTATTTCATTTGCCTTCTCCCGCGTGCTCTTCAAATTATCTGCAAAAAGTTCAAATTTACTAACTTGATATAAATCAAGTTCCAATAAGAATTACCACATGTTTTCTTCACTTCTTGACCACTATCCTTCTGAGAGCTGACTTCATCATTGGACTCTGTGAGAATGCCATCAATAAGCTTCATCTCCTCCTCCAAGTTAATCTCAGTGTCTTGCACATCTTTCAATTGTTCAATGGGTGTAGGTGTATATGTGCTTGTCACATTCTCTTCACTTGCTTTGCATACTCCTGAGAGAACACTTTTTGGTGTTGGTTTGTAGGTGGGTCGGTCTTTGATGTCGTAGCTCTTCCGCGCCGTAGTGCGCACCACATCCGGCACGTAGCTGATGGGAATGTGACTTCTACTGCTGGCGAGCTCACTTTTCGGAGTTGGTTTGTAAGTGAGAACGCCGGCGGAGGTGCTCGCGGGCGCATCTTCGGCGTCTTGAGTTTTCTTGCGATGTCTAAAATGACAATAAGGCCGACCGCACTTACGCTCGTGATACGGACAATCGATGTCTTTGAAAAATCCCTTTGTCGGCAGCATTTTCGTGCTCGTTAAAGGGTTTTATTTAAAGTACAGTCGGCGGAATCGCTAAACAACACTACCACCTAACCTTACAATCATACAACTCGAGCCGTGAATCGCGGCCGCTTGTTGCGCTGCCGAACGCGACAGCGGGAGGATATAAAACTATTTTCATAGCAGAGCAAACTTTAATAAAATATTTGATTATTCTTTTATTGTTTCAATTTTAAATTATCAAGAGGCATATAAGAGGTCACCGGATATGTGATAGCACTGTTATTATCAGCGGATGAGATAAACTCGCCTAATTCAATGACAACCTCCCATTTAAAACATTTTTTATTTGAAACATGGCTGACTTTACTAAAGATTATTCAAATACTGAAAGCGTTTCTAAGCAATTTTTATGAATACCCTTTACAGAAAAGATCGTCTGGAGCAAAAATTAATGAACATCAATACTCAAACGCAAATGACTCAGAAAAATATTAACGAATCTCAGGCTTTGAACAAAAACTCTACCAAACTGCTGAATGAAGCACGCGACAATTTTGACGAAATGAGCGATCAATTCGAAGACCTTAAAATCCTTGAGGGCAGTTTTGGCGAGAATCTGGATGAATCAGAAAAAAAACTAGATAAGTTAGACGAGCGTATCCCAGATATAGAAAAACACGCGGATGATTTGTATGGACAGGCCTATGAACTCGGAAAAATCTTGAATGAAACACTAGTAGACTCAGAAGCGGCTGTGAGCGCAGCTACTGCATACTCCAACATTGAGGAAGCCGTAGAGAAAGCAAAAAAAGCAGTCGAGGGTGCCAACCGAAAGGCGGATGAAGTCAATGATCACCTTGCAGAATTGGAAGTGATTACCAACAAAGGTGATCTTGCTTCTAAAGACCTCCTTGCAGCCGCCGATCAACAAATGAACGACATCAGGCAACTCGAGCCTGATGTCAAAAACGCCACAAATAAGTTCCATCCTGTTCAAGACCAACACACACGAAATAAGGAAACTTTGGAGAATTTAGACAAAGCCCTGAAAAACTACGTCAGTAAGAATTTAGACTCTGTCCTCCTGGAAGCAAAGAAAAACGCCGAGAATGCCGAAAGTAATGCAAAGGATACCCTCAATGAAACCGAGAAAGGCTTCCTTAAAATAGAGTACAACCTCTTAGACTCGAAAAATATGAGCCAAAAAGTATTCGGAACAAATCAAGCCATTGTTCAGGTTAAGAAAGAGTTAGATTCTGTAAATGACAAATTACCACAGATTTTGAACACGATCGAAAACCGACCGGAACAGAGACCGGAATTGAAGAAAAATCTAGAGTCCAAGATTAACAAACTCAATGAACAAATTGCTCTGGCCCGTGATTTAGCCAACAGGATTGATGGAGGTGTAGTCTTCAAACCCTCCACAACTCTTGAACTTCACAATCCGGACAACCTTGACGAACTTAGCACATCCACCCAAATATCAGGATACTTTAAGACTGCCGAACCCAATGGTGTTTTACTCTTCTTAGGAAACGGTAACGGGTCCAATGTAGGAAGACACAAAAACGATGACTACATGGCGTTAGAAGTAGTAAGTGGTTACCCAACACTCACCTTGGACCTTGGTAATGGACAGGAGCAGATTATCAACGATAAATACGTGGCCAACAATGAATGGTACCAGTTTATAATTGACAGAACTGGATTGAATGCCAAATTAAGCATTAAAGAAGAAATGCGTGATGGGTCCGAAAATGTAACCACTGCCGAAAAACAACTGGACGGCCCATCGAGCATTTTCAACCTGGATCGGAATAATTCAAAGCTGTTTATTGGAAGCCACCCCACTGACTTTGAACCACCATTCAAGGTCCGAAACAATGTATTTAACGGGATGGTCGAAGATGTTGTCATTGGAGATACTCCAATTTCCTTGTGGAACTTCAACAGAGGTTACGATAACAACGTAGGAGCACCTCAGAGGACCAAGTTACTAAAAACCCATCAAAACGGATACAGATTCAATGGGAACGGATACACCATTTTGAATTCACGCGCGTTATCCTTTAGTAGAGAAAGTGATGTCCAATTGGACTTCAAGACCTTTGCAACTGAAGGTCTTCTATTCCTGTATGGAAATGACAGAACCTTCTTATCACTAGAGTTGCGAAACGGGAAGATATTATACAAATACAACCTTGGAAGCGGTACCAAAGTCTGGCATACCAAATCCACGTTTAATGATGGTGAGTGGCATCATGTGAATGCTCGAAGGGATGGTCCCTCAGGAAGATTCATCGTTGATAATATCGAAGTGGAAGACCAGTCATCTTCGATACAAGGTCATCTCCTGGAACCGCAGGAGACTTTCTTCGTTGGTGGTTACCCACAGATGCACAAAGTCAAAGATGTTACCAACGTGGACTTTGATGGTTGTATAAATAATCTGAAAATTGGTGGAAGACCCATTGACCTTACAGATAACGTCAAGTCCTACGGTGTTATCCCCGGTTGCCCTGCTAAATTCAGCGGAGTTGTGTCTTTCTATTCCAATAGACCCGGTTTTGTCAAGCATGATAACATCACATCATCAAATGACTTCATTGTTAATCTTAAATTCAAAACCCAAGAGAAATCTGGGCTTGTGTTCTACGCCACGAATGAAGAACAAGAGTCTGGTATCAGTCTCTCGTTGGAGAATGGACGCTTAAAGTTAATCAGTCAAAAATTAGAACTTGTGTCCAAAAATAACAAATTTAATGATAACGAATGGCACGTGGTGAGCGTGACACACAGTGATAGAGTCCTGCGGTTGGACTATGATGACCTTGATTTTGAAATGTAAGTATTTTAACCCAGCCGCCATCTTGTTATTGATTAATTTTATTCATTGCACAGAGCTGATGTCCCTCCTCCATTAATTCTGATGTATGGCGAGATCTTCATCGGTGGACTACCTAAACATTACGTGGTCAAAAAAGGAATGATTGATAAATACCGGCCATTCGCAGGGTGCATTGCTGATGCAACTGTTAACGGAAACCTGCTTAACTTTGCTAATGCTACCCTTAAACGCGGCGAGGAGTTGGGTAAATGTCTACTAGATAAACTAGTGGGAAGTGATTCGGACATCCACAATGTACCTACTCTTCCACCATTGGAAGAACAAGACGTACACGCCACTGAAGCTCCTGAGGAGGAACACACCGAGGTCTTCAATACGAATGACACTCCGAAGAGAGGTGATGGTGGCAAAGACGATGGTGAGATAGAAGAAGATCCAGTGGAAGTCAATATGGATCTCACTGATATAGAGACAACGACCTGGCCCACTCCAAGGCCACATCCTTCGACGACAACAGCAGCATCACCAGAATGTGCACTACCCAGAGATCCTGCTTTGGACCCAGACGTCTTAAAATCTGGAAGTTATAAATACACTGAAAAGGGTAGCAGGTTAGAATTTTCCGTGCCTAGAGGGAAAGTCAGGAAGAGTTTCGTCTTCAGTTTGGAGTTTAAAACATTGTCACACAATGGAATTCTTTTCTATGTATCGGATGCAACTCACAAGCAATATGTTGCGTTGTTCCTCGATAATGGTTATGTCAGTGTTTTCAACCTTTACTGTAATATTAGTTTCAACATGAAATTATTTTTTACAGGTATACTTCACCTTTAGTAACCATGGTAAAACCGCAATGGTAAACTCCTCTCTTTTGTACGCTGACGATGTCTGGCATAAAGCAACATTCCGAAGAGATTACGGTTATGGCATACTGGACATTGATGGTGAGGAGACCACCGCACATGCTACTCAAAACATCACCCGTTTAGATGTAGCCCAACCGTATTACGTTGGTGGTGTGCCTGAAAAGGTCTACACGCATGAATCCTTCCCCTTAAAGTGGGTTGATCAATACAACGGCTGTATCCGTAATTTCAATATGAACGACAAGCCGATGGAGAACCCCAACACGCATAAGGTTATCCCCTGTTCAGAGAGTATGGAAGAGGGTATATTCTTCAGCTCAGCAGGTGGTTTCCTGCGTCTTAAAGACCGCTTCAAAGTGGGTTATGAGTTCGACGTACGAATGGATCTTCGTCCGCGTGCATCCAGCGGTCTTATCATGGCCGTCCATGGAAAACGTGATTACTTCGTGCTGGAGTTAGATCAAGGCGCACTTAAAGTTACCGTGGACAATGGTAAAGGACCAATTACGGCGAAGTTCCTACCAGATAAGTTCCAATTCTGCGATGGACAGTGGCATACTATCCAGGCGGTCAAATCCAAGAGCGTTGTCACAGTTGCTGCAAACGGAATTTACTCTATTCCGGGTGTGGGTGACAGAAAGTCTGCATCGACCGACACAATCGGGTATTTGTTCCTCGGCGGTCATAGGATTATACAAAAGGCAAAGGGTATCTCAGTACGAGTTCCGTATGTTGGCTGTATTCGTAACGTGGTGGTCAACAATGTACCGATTTATCCTGTGCAGAGTATGGCCGAAGGGGGCGTGCAAATCGGCTCGTGCCCGACCATTTAATCAATGTCTCAATTGTGTACTTTGCTAATGTAATTGTAATCTTTCACGCTTTTATTTTCTATTACTTTTATGCTCGCTCTACTCCAGTCGAAAGCAAGATGAAGAGTAGAACACTTGCAATTTGTTTAGTTTTGTGTTTTCACGTCTGCGAGAACAAAAAGTCTTTGGAACACTTTATTCGAAAGAAAGTTATTGATAAATCAAGAATCACCATATTAAATACTGCCAATGAAGAAATAAATTACACTTGGATTGAATATCACTATTCTTTTGATGATACAAAACTGTACCTAACGCACGATCTTCCTAACGAAACAAACATCGCTGTTAACGTTTATTTTAAACCGACAGAATGTGAAAACGCACGCGGAAAAGCTTATTCCAGTTATATTCAAAATTTACTGGATGTTTTAACTGAAAACGATGAATTATTTTTTGGTTACCTGAATCAAACTGAAGAAACTGCTGATTTATACGCATGTACGCATGCATCTACGACCGGAAGTCATGGATTCAATGGCTTTCATCCACTCCACGCCATTTTATCATCCAGATATGCGCTAATTTATAGTTTTCAAAACAAGGCGAAAGATATTTTCGTGTTAACATTTGTCGGGACATTATGGTTGGTTTTCCTTGTCGTTTTATTGCTTCTAGCAGTGTGTTTGCGGATTTCTACGCATTATTATTCGCGAATTTACAATGGTAGACGTTGGTCCTGGGTGGAAATTACTCTTTGGGCTATTGCTGCAGCCTGCCAACAAGGTAAGAACATAAGTCCAGCAATACATAACGAATAATGTAATAATTTAAGGTTTAAGTTACACTCCATCGCGTGTAACAAGCAGAATATTCTTCCTGCTAGGTTATATTACCTCATATTTGCTCTACACGGCTTTCACAGCCGCCATAACCTCAGTTCTAATCCAACAAGAGAGCGTTGATGTCGCAGTGGATCAATTCAACATCATCGGTTATGGCGTCACCGGAAATCAGTTTGGACCTTATGTAAGTTTAAAATGGCGGTGATAAATCAATAGTCCATTTCTCTTTTTGTAGAAAATTGCAAGTCACACCAATAATTTAACAAAACTGTTTGAGCAAATCGATACGGCAGCAAATATTGGTTTAGGACCGCAAATACTCTTTGATGAATACATTTCTGCGCCAGATCATAACGATTACAATGTGATTACATTAGAGAGTAATATTAGAGAGTATAAAGAAAGTTTCCTGTTACGAAAAGGACTCGCAAATCAACAGAAAACAATCAATCAAATGTTAATGAAAATGTTTGAAACAGGGATACTTAAACGAATTAAACAGAAATCGTTAAAAATCTCTACAAAAGGCGATACAAGCGAAGGTTATTCAAGCGCATCGCTGGAACACGTTAAATCGGCAATTCTACTTTTTCTTACAGGTCTGGGACTAGCAGTAATTTTCCTTATCATGGAATTAGGCGTGTACGGGTATCGACATCGGTAAAAACAACAACTTTTCAATTATTTTACAACTTACATTTCATTCCATGCAAAGATTTTCACGTTTTTCATTCTTATCTTGACGATATAATACAATTGGTCTAAAACCGTTAAAAGTTGTTAATATTAGCATTCTTTTTTTGGCAGTGTAACAGAACAAACATAAATGCCCACAACTCAAAAGATTCCACTTTTCTTAGCCGTCACAACCTACATTTAGGTGAGTAACACTTAGCTTAATTAAATTAAGGGAAGAACGAATACAATTAAAAGCAATCCGAATTTAATACAAACGAAATTCTTCAGATTCACAAAATAAACAAGAAACATCTAGGCGGTTTAGTTTAAAAATTTCGTTTTCTTTAAATTTAAAGTGACTAGTATGCTCAAAATCGGCAAAAATTCGGATTTGCAATCGTGAGATCTCCAACGAAAAAATACCTATCAACTTAAACGTGCGAGGTGGAGTAAAACTAATCTTTTTTAATGACAAAGACGTCAATCAGGGTTTATAAATGTAAAACGTGTGTAAACGTAAACCTTGTAAAACAAATGTAGAAAGAATCGCGCATCGAATTTGTTTCTTATTCGATGCCGTGCGCGAAAATCATCACAAGGCCAGGCTCGACCATCATGTCCTCGCTCATGTGCGCATTGTCGCAAGCGAGCACCAGCACCGCCTGCTTACCAGGCACCCGCTTGCACACGTAGTTTTCATACTGGCGGCGGTTATTTTGGCGAGTTTCAAGCGCGCAGAGGCCGGGCGGCCAACGACGCTCGTGGCAGTTCTCCATTAGATCATCGATAATGTGCGAGGGGCATCCAATTTCACTTAGAACTCTTTTGATCATTCGCTATAAAATTTTTATGCATTTTTTAACCAAGTCAAAAACAACTTGTTTATGTTATTGTTACCTGTAATCTTTCATCTGGGGTTGATATCATGCCACCCCAACGTGTTACCCTCGCTCTAGTTAGAGTATTACTCCATCTTACGACTTCATCTCTTTCCATTGCGTCAGCAATTGCGCGCATTGTCGGATTTGAAATCTTCATAGCTCTCATAAAGTCCTAAAGTACCCAATTTATTTATTTATTGTGTTATTTATTAATAAGAATTGTCTCTCACCTTAAGTAGTTGTAATTCTTTCTTTAACTCATTAGTATTAATTCTTTGTTCAGTCAAATCCTGCTGAAACTCCATCAGTTTTTGTTGTTGTTGCAGCACTAAGCCCCTGAGGTCTTTGATGCAGTTGTGGTCTTTGAGTTCGTCCTTCGGCACTATAAGCCCGCAGCCGGATTCGCACGGCAGCGGCCGCTTTGGATTGAATTCGCATTCTTCTAGATGTCTCGCTAATGTGTCTAGTTTTAACATTGAAGTACAGCCATGTTGAGCATTATCACAATTAATGGAAAGTCTAAAAATGATAACAAAACAAAATTAACTCCAATTAATAACTGATTTAAAACAACGTACCTTGAAAGTAAATTTCTTAGTATACGAGGAACCGGTCGTAGTTGTCCACTGGTGATATGTTGCCTGTCTACAGGACATGTGGGTTGTCTGGAGATCCATTCCTGGATGCAATTCTTACAGAATGCATGCTCACAGTTTGGTGCCTGAATGAATAATCATAAATTAGGAAATAAAACAAAGGAATAACGCTAAAACACTTTGCGTTTTGTTTTCTCTTTGTTTGTTATTGAAAGTCTTTTGTTTACCTGGAGCGGATCCTCGAGTACACCATTGCAGATCGCGCAGACGAGCTCCTCGTCGACGTCGCCTTGAAAGCGATTCAGGTCGTAGCCCATTATCTCGTCGTCGGCGTGTGCATTGCTCGACCGAGATGCGCGACAGATCTAAAAATACCTAACGTACGGTGTCTTGGACTGCCCGAGATGTCACAAAATGTCTGATTGGAAGATGGATAACGCACAATACCCTTTCTTCGCTTTCTTCGCGTGCACTGGCCTCGCTGACCTGCACGTCATACATCACAACACTCGCAGGATTCACAATGCATAGCTAGACATAGGACGAAACAGAACTAGCGGACACTTCACGCACGACTGCGAATGGAAATTTAGATGTTTTAATGATGAATCAAAATATTTGCAAATTTTAAACGATGTTTCATCGCGTGATGCACGTACCGTGCGAAATGACTCGACCAGACAACAATAATACTCATGGCAAATGGCAACCAATGGCAACAATGTAGAATTTGTAGGACAGAGTCTAACTTAAAATTTATCAGCTTACAAATGATTTACTAAAACATTCAAAATAAGTGCACGCCACGTTTTTTAATTCATATTTTTATAGTAAAACTTAAAACATATAAAAAACAAATTAAAATTCAAAATAATTACAATCCTGTTGTAATTGTCAAAGGTAAAAAACACAGAAGTCAAGCAGGACGTGCGATTCAAAATATAACCTAAGATTGAATTGAACTTTATTGAAGTACACGAAAATTTCAAAAACATTAATAAAAATGTGGATAAATCGAAGATTTTTACAGTGCACAACACACCTGTACAAGAATCTCACCAATAATACCCAACAAACATTTGGAAACTCCACAATTATTCGGTAAAATTCATTTTAACCTTTAAACATTTCATAATTCATTTAAAAATGTATTTAATGTTTTAGAAATATTCATAAATCAATGCCTTATAAAGGAACAAGTACCTATGAAGGGGAAGGCAAGACAACTGTTCATATTCTTAATAATGAAGCTGATTTAGGTATAATGATCAATGGAGTAAGCCAAGTTGGATTCCGATTGAACAATGATATGACTGTTCTTGGCCCAATGTTAATATTTCCTAGGTAAATAGCATACATTATATTCAACCTTAATGTTATTATCATTTTATTTATTTTCCAGATCTGTATTATCATGGGATGTGGCATCTGTTGAAGACATCAATGAAGACTCACTTGCAATGTTCACGATTCTCGAACCGAAAGTAGATATTCTTGTAGTTGGGATAGGCGATAGAATTCAAGACTCATGTGTGTATAGAACATTAATACCCTTGAGCCGCAAATTAAAACTAAGTATGGAGATTCTCCCTACGGAACAGGCTTGCGCCACGTTTAACTTTCTAAATTCTGAGGGCCGTTTCGCTGTGGGGGCGATGATACCGCCGAAAACGCTAATTCCGACTGACGATGACATCGCGCAAACCAAGTTGAGATATCAGAATATTTATGAAATTGAAGAACCGCTTAAGTTTTAATGTATGTAATTTAATTAATATTGAAATTAATTATATTACAAGTGATAATAGACCTGTTTGTGTAAATAAATTTGTTTGTCGTTTAAATGTGTTTTAAATTACTGTGAAATTTGTTAAATGTTGAAATAATCGTTTAAGTTCAATTAACTCTTTAGTTGTAAATATTTCATATTTTAAATTTGAATCGCAGAAGTTTAACCAGTTGTGCTACCAAGTGATCGAATTGCTTTTAACGACGTTAATGGCGAAGGAATTGCTGATATAAATAAACAGTAGCTGGGACCACTGACGCTTAGTGACCATGTTGTGACCCGACTGGACGAAAGTTCGATTACATCGAAATACATCGAACACCAGATTGAATGTATGCGTGAGAATGCAGTGTACAATGAGCTCGACCAAGGCGACCAAGGTCGATGGTCTCTTCTTTCGCCGAGTAAGCGAGTAGCTCCAGTAGCATGGGAGTGCAATACGCACAAAATCGTACACGTGCAAAATTAAAAGTTAAGTTTCAGCTATTTATTTAAACAACAAAACAATTTTTTTTTCTATTTGGCATATTCATGGCGTGTCATCAATACGCATGCGCAAAATGGACGCAATAGTAACGTTGATTTATACAGATGTCGTTGCTCTAGCCCAACTTTAGATGCTATTTAATACATATGCAACCAAGAGTTCAGATGGAAGCCATTGTTTAAACATGTTTAAACAATGAAAATATCAAATTACAGCAACTTTAGCAGAACAAAATAAAAATGGCGTACATTTAATTTTGTAAATGCAGTTGACGCAGATGCATATCACTTTACACTGCATGTATTCATCAATAAATCGTGACTTACCTTTTATCACCACACCGCAGCCTAGCTCGCGACTCTCGCGACTTGTGCGTAGAATAAGTTTACCATAGAGTTTACGCTTCCACTCGAGTTCTGAGTCACGAGCACGGACTCGCTTTCAACTCGCTCAGCAATGTTTGCCGTGGTTTGCCGCTTTCAAACCCGTTATTGCTAGCCTCCATCTCCAGCCCGGCGCGAGCTCCAGTTGCATACGAAGCATTCCGCATTCGTATTCCGCGTTCGTAGTCGCTCGAAGCACCTCGTTGAGTCGTGAGCGCGCTGTGGTGGCGGGCGCGCTATTCGATTTCGACACTCGCTGCGTAAACTCGTCAAAGTGGCAGGAAAAAGCAAGCGTTCGCGAGGTCTGCGCGTCCTCTGGTTGCCAGGCCGCGGCCACAAGCACACCAAGGCGAAGCATTACCATCGGCACGTCGATTCCACATCCAGACAGTAAGCTACCAACAACACTCAACTCAACCAACTTAATCCTACCTACAAATCGCATATATTCATACATATAAATCGTGTAGTGTCCGAGTATATGTGGTGTGGCTGACGTGCGTGTACTATTGTTCTCGGCGCTCGGTGTTCTGGAATGTGTGAAGTGTGATATTCAGGTGATGTTCAGGTGTTGGGAGAAGGTGTGCAGTGTGTGCGCGCAAGGTGGAGGATGTTCTAAGGTTTAACTTTACTGGTGGTGTTGGTGGTGGTGGTGGTGGAGGAGGAGGAATGCAAGATGTATGCGGAGCTTTTTGAATTTGTTGCATGGATGCAATCAAGGTAGAGAGCGTGCGCGAGTTGAAGTTGAGAAAACCTGACTGGTAGTCCACCCACGCAACTTAAACATTACAATTTCGTCCTTTGTTTGTTAACAACAGTTTCGTGCTTTGTTTTCTTGATGATATTTCCACACTGCGTGAGTTGAATTTAATGCTTTTCGCTGTTTAATCACTAATAAAACAATTGACAACGCTAACTGACCTACTTGTCCACTATTTGTGGTCGAACAATTGCTTAAACTTTAATCGTTGATCTTATTGGTCATGGAAAGCATATGGATACAAAAGCAAAAGCATTTCAATGGATTATTCTCGGTTGTATGTCATTTTCGTCATTTTTTATATCTATGATAACCTTGCACGGCGTTTTATTACAGTCAATCAAGCGAAATGTATGCGACTCTGCGCGCTGGGCAGTTTATTATGATTAATTTGCGTAAAATGTGCACATTCATGGGAAGTATCAGCATGCGATCACTTACCAAACGTAAATATTTAAACAAATCTATTTAGATTACATCATAGTTCTATGAAGCATCTAAATAATTAATTGCAGCCATACTCTCATTGAACTTTATGAGAAAATGCATTATTTCATGCGTTTTTTTTAAGTTTGACTTGAAAAACAGTTTTTTCATAAATAAATTTTGTTTTAATTACAAAAACGCTGTCGTCTTAAAATTTCCAACAAAAGATTGATGTTTAATAGATTATTGTATTAAAATTAACATAAATATGGCTTATTTCTTCTAAAATTATATCAAAACTGCAGAAAACTTGGTTTTGGCAAATTTTTGAATAGCGCACTTTTGCTTTGACTGAAATGACTACAAATTTCAAATTTGTCACTTGAAAAAATGACGTTGTGACCTTTTCCGCGATATTTAAACCAATTTAAAAGTGTTTTACCTTATTTTACACGTGATTTTACACCGGCGTTGAGCTTGTTATTGCAAGACGATGGCACAGCGCTATGAAACAATGAAGAACATGGCGTTCCTTTCCCGAAAGCTCGATGAACTTGTCATTATTCGAGCGGTGCAAAGTTTCAGCGCGAAAATGTTGCCGTTCTTCAACTCGGAGAGTTTTCCGTATCTCAACGAGTACTACAGGTATCGCCGCGCTACTATTAACATAATATATTAGCACTTTATAATTAACAGTAGAATGGCAATGAATCATTTCATCTTGCATGTGATTCAAGCTATGCTTCGAATACTTCACGTACTTGGTATGCCTTTACATTAGATCACTTCCTTGCTCAGTAAAGTTCCGTGTGGCTTGGTATGTTCTTGTGGTTTTGCGCGTGTGCGGTGTCATTTTCCAATTTGTGTGGTTCAGTTAGTGAAATTATAGTTTGGCGTTCTAGGTGCGTTTTGGTGCCACTGGCGTAAACATGGGTGATAGTTGTGCGCTTTGATTGTTGTAAAAAAGTACGCGTTCGGGTCATCTCTGCAGACATGTCTAAAGTGGGCACCAGTAAATATCTTAAAAATAACGGCTTTGTCATGATGATGAGGTGAGTTACCGTCCGCGAATGATGCAAATTGAAACAATTCTTGTTTGCTGACACGCGTTTGATGTATGCAACCCAATGTACTCTTATGCACTGTGTTGGATTTTTGTACTTGTTGCTTTGTTTTTAAATTTTATGTTAAAATACACAAAACATAGAATTAAACTCGTTTTTCGATTTGTTTTATAAGTTACTTGTATTTTTCAGTTCAATAATGGCTAGTGATTCATCCCCGACGGCCGATAACAAAGAATTCTCATATCCTGCTCCCGGCCGATCAACCCCACCGCCAACAACGAGTTATGTTTCCGCACGTCAGGAATCACAGGCGATCGCTATCGATCAAAACATCGCAAAACCCATTCCCGAAAAAGAAACCGACGATCTCAAAGAGAAAGACGCCAAGGAGAAGGAAAAGGATGATGTGGACATGTCGGCGCCCGATGCTAATCCAGGCTACAAGCCCGAAGAGCGCAAAGACGACAAGCGGGACTTCAAAGAAGATAAAGGCGGCGGTGGTGGTGATACAAAATTAAACGGGGGTAGCAAGCTGGAGACGGCATTCATGCTGCCGCTCGACGCGAAAGATGATGAAGTGGAAGAGGAAAGCTGCACGGTCAATTGCCTCTACTATACGATGCAATGCTGCGAGTGCGTCATTACATAACCCCGTTCAAGATGGCACCGGAAATTGATATAATTTAAGCGCCTATGGTCGCATGTGTGCAGAATACGCAAGATGGCGTGTCTTCCGGCGCGCACAACGCGTTGTTATTTATCTATTATTTCGTTTAATGCTACGATTTTATCTAAGTAATTGGCGCCATCTAAACACTATAACATTCCGTTTTAAAACATTTCGAATGCCATGTATGTACAAAAAACAAATATTTTTTTAGGTTAAACCTTCGAACGTGCGTGTGGTTTTGTATATTTTCTAGAAACATGCGCAGTGCTGCCGAGAACAATTATTCGCTTAAAAATCTCAAAATGGCCGACTACGAACAATTTGTGCACTCGAATGTTGGCAACGTTTCATTTCGTCAATTGGCAACACTGCCATCTACGAAAATTGTTCAGATACGCTTAACATTTAATCATTAAGCATACTTAACATTTAAGTATGCGCCTGGCAAAACATCTACTGAGTTTACTCTCTGGCTCTATTCTTTACTGGCAGCGTGTGTGTGTACATTTTTCTGTCTGAGTATGTGTGAGTGAGTAGAGAGAAATGTGGAATGTGGTGAAACTATTTTTATATAATAAAATCGGATGAGTGATGCAAAAACACTCTGTATCAAATGTGAACTGTTTAACTCACCATGATTGATCCCACGATTTCAAAATATTACTAACAAGAAAAAAGTCTCGAGAATTACTAAATCCTTATGGTACTGGCAAGTTACTACGCATGCGCAGTAATAATCTCATGTAAATAGTATTGTTTGTGTGTTTGTATACGACTAGATGATGCTTCCGCGCGTGCGCGCTGCTGTGTCGTTGACGAATCACGACTTGTACACGGGCAACGGATGCGCTTCCGAATTAATGACAAACTTGTCAATGTCCAACAGCTTGGGATCATCGGCAAACAGCAAGTAAAGATACTTGAGCGTCTCGCTGAGGAAGAACGACTCCATCATATCTTTCGGTCGCACGTTCGTCACGCTGCGAACATTGCCGATGGACGTGTATCCGTTGGCGACCTTCGTGTACTTCTGGAAGCCTTCGAAGATCTGCCAGCCCCAGTCTTGGTACGTCGAGTTTCCAGTGAGTTGATACATGTAGAAAAGACTCTCGAGAAATTCGGGCCGAAGCAGATTATGTGCGTCATTGGTTTTGACGTACATATCGTTCGAGTTTTCTCCCTGAATAATTAAAAATTGGTTAAGTTAGGTTAATGATGCAATTTTAAGATGACAAAAAGTTTTCTAACCTGAATATTAAAATAGGTAATCTCAGGTGCAAGGAATGTGGGTTGTTGAGCATATGTCTGATAACAAGTGGTGAGTAAATCTTCCGCAAGGCGCATGTGGTCGGCAGACAACCCGTTGTGCACACCCAGAGCAAGCGTACCGGGTAGATAACAAGTAAGATGATCCATTTTAGGTTTGAATTCTTTTCCACCGGCTAAAAGCTCGCCAATAAATAAGAAACCATTCGGAACTGTACGTTTGACAAGATGTTTCTCCACACCGTGAATAGCCTCGATGTAATCCTCTTTTAAACTAAACAAATAGTTATAGCAATAAATTGAGGTTAAATAAAAAAATACTATACTTACTAATCTATTGTTTTTCCAGTCTGAATCCATTGTTTTAATAAATACTCGTAGTATGAATCACCGCGAGCGCCTAGAGTAATTGTCGCGAATGAAAACGAACCTGTGTTGGCGTTGATAAAGATAGGTACAAGGCCATCTTTTTTATCGAGATTGTGTACATGCTGCGACACGTCTGCTACCACTCGCTAAAAAAACAACATTGTTTTACTACAAATTAACTTGCGATAGTCATGCATCAAACCTCATATTTTGGATTGCCAGTACACCGGCTCAAATCTCTGAACTCCAGTTGAATAGTGGTCACCTCAGAGGTGCTGCTGTCGGGTGACCATTTTGGCGCATGCGCTTTACGCGTAAACAAATTGACATCGGAAAATGGCACGCCCGACACGGATTCGAAACAAGTGAGAAGGCGATCACCCAAATCAACCGCTTTATTGAGATAGAGCTCATCGCCTGTCATGTGATAAGCACTCAGGAGGCCACCTAATACACGAATTGTAATTTCGAAGAGATTAACATCGCGATTCACGTCGAAACTCAGATGTTTTTCGACCCATTCACGCGACTCCTCCAATTCTACAATAAAAAATAATTTTAAAGTTATTCAAGGTTATATTTTGAGAATTTAAGGTGAAATCATACCTTTATCAAGACCCATAATAACCATGGTATCTAAAGAGTCAACAATAGTCAGCCCCACACCAAACCACTCATGGTATCCCTCTGAGATTGGTTTGAGATTGTCATGTCCCCATGCGAATCGTTTGTACCCTTTCCAGGCATGCTGGAATGCTTGCACAACTGCTTTCTGCCTCTCAGTTTGATGTTTACTGAAAGTTATTTTCGTTTTGAGTATAGTTTGCGGTGTGTCCCGAATGCCTTTCGGCTCTTCTAGAACGTGAGATTCTTCCAGGTTGAGATTTACATTTTCTTCAACAATATCATTAGGATGGTGTAGATTATTATTATTGTTATTATTATTTGAGGGAGAATTTCCTATGTCGCGCTTTATCGCGCTTATGAGTGGTCCTGCTGTTGGCACTTCAGCAATAGTTTCAGTATCTGCTGTGGTCAAATACAGCATGCCAAAGAAGCAGAATGTAAGCAGGATATAAATTGCGTTGCGTTGAAATCTCGATAATTGATTCCATATCTGAAATATTTACAAAATTGTAGTACATAGAGCAAAAGATTTATAAAGAACAAAATAAAACAAAAAACTAATCAGATGTTGTTTTTCTAAGTATATCTGCCTCTTTAATTCATTGCTTACCCTCCAGAAAGATCTGTTTCTTCGTTTTTCGCCACCAGCATCATTCGCTGGCAAGCTGAGAGCGATATGATCACTTCGATGCATTTTCGTGTTGGTCACTGGACGGCCAGCAGCAAATCACGACTTAAAACTAAACATACTCCGCTCCGCCCAACTAGATCCGCGATATCGAAAGCTAATTCGCGAGTAATTAGATGTAATTACCCTCGAATCACAGCCGCATCGCCTCTATCACCGTTTCGGTCCATTGACAAGCATTCAACATTCGAGATTCAACAACGAGTATTCGATTCGACTGAGTGACACTGACAGTCAGAGCTGGCAATCAGATGAAAAAACACCGTACCTAACCTCCGAGATATCATTGGCCGTTCTTGAATGTTTGACAGTGCGCATTCTTTTGACAGTTGTCAAACCAAGAGGACAGCATTCTGTTCCTCCAAAAAACCCACAAATACAACAGATTTTCACGTTAAAACCGGACCAAAAGTATTAATTCATCATGGTACGTATTATTTTTTACATTTAACAATTGTTTATTACTTGTACAATTTGTGCAATTGTTTATTTGATGTGTAATATGCGCACATTCAAACTTAACCTAAAAATGAACATGTTTTTCTATTAGATGTTACTAAAAACAATTTATTTTTCCTTAGAAACCGCTTATGTTGCACGGGCACGAGCGTGCTATTATGCAGATTAAGTACAATCGCGAAGGAGATTTGCTTTTCTCATGTTCCAAGGATAACAAACCAAATGTTTGGTATTCACTGAATGGAGAAAGACTTGGCTCCTTCAATGGCCATCAGGGAGCAGTCTGGTGTTTGGATATTGATTGGATGACTAAGAATTTCATGTCTGGTGGTGGTGATAACACCCTGAGACTTTGGGATTGCCAAACTGGCAAGGAAATTGGTTGTATTGCAACCAACTCCTCTGTGAGAACATGCAACTTCAGTTATTCAGGAAACATGGCTGCATACTCAACAGATAAAGCCATGAAGCACAATTGTGAGATCTTCATCATTGACACTAGGACTGTAGATGATGATATTTCACATGCTGATCCCATCATGAGGATTCCAATCAAGGATGGGAGGGTTGCTTCATTATTGTGGGGCAATTTGGATGAAACACTTCTGACTGGTCATGAAAGTGGTGAACTTAATCAGTGGGATTTGAAGGTAAATTAATTTTATTTTTTTATTTATCAAAGATTAAAATTCTTTGTTTTGTTTTTAGATGGGTCATCATTTAAACTCTACCAAGGAACACACGGGTCTCATTAATGACATGCAGATGAACAAGGATGCTACCATGTTCATCACCGCCTCTAAAGATCACACCGCAAAATTATTTGATTCTGAAAGTTTGATGCTCTTGAAGACGTTCAAAACCGAACGGCCGGTCAATTCAGCCGCTATTTCTCCGATCCACGATCATGTTGTTTTGGGTGGTGGACAGGATGCTATGGATGTAACCACTACATCGTCGCGTGTTGGTAAATTCGATTCGCGATTCTTCCATTTGGTATTTGAGGAGGAGTTTGGACGCGTGAAGGGACATTTCGGACCGATTAACAGCGTCGCTTTTCATCCGGATGGTAAAAGCTACAGTTCTGGTGGTGAAGATGGTTACGTTCGTTTACATAATTTTGATGCGTCTTACTTTGATTACGCGTTTGATTATTAAATTGTAATTACAAGAGGCGATGATGAATAAAACGGTTTTGATAACGAAGATGAATTTTTTACCTCACTCCTTACTTGTATGCAACCCAAAATACACCGAACTTCTCCCAGGTTTAAAGTCCTAATCTGTTTTAGGTTAAAATTAAAATCAAACAGTTCCTTGTTTCTTCTTCAAAAAACATGGCAAACAAGTTGAAGAAATACGAAAAAATTGAATTTCTCGGTGAAGGTCAGTTTGCCACCGTGTACAAAGCGCGTGATGTCGACACCGACACAATAGTCGCCGTGAAGAAGATCAAAATTGGCAGCCACATAGAAACCAAAGATGGGATCAATCGAACTGCCCTCAGAGAAATCAAAATCCTACAGGAGCTTAGCCACAAAAATCTAATCGGATTACTGGATGTTTTTGGTCATATGTCCAACATTTCTCTTGTTTTTGATTTCATGGATACTGATCTTGAAATTATCATCAAAGACAACACAATTATTCTAACAACTGCAAATATCAAATCATACACAATTCAAACTCTTCAAGGCTTGGAATATCTCCATCTCAACTGGATATTGCACAGAGATTTGAAGCCTAATAATTTATTAGTAAATGCAAATGGAGTACTAAAAATTGGAGATTTTGGCTTGGCCAAAGCATTTGGTTCCCCAAATAGAATAAATACTCATCAAGTGGTGACTCGATGGTATAGATCACCAGAGTTGCTCTTTGGTGCTCAACAATACAGCACAGGTATTGATATGTGGGCTGTTGGGTGTATATTGGCAGAACTTTTATTACGTGTACCTTTTTTGCCTGGAGATTCTGATTTGGATCAACTTACAAGAATATTTCAAGTATTTGGTAATCCTACTGAAGAAAATTGGCCTGGTATTAAGGAGTTGATTGCTTATATTGAATTTAAACCGTTTCAACCAGTACCATTAAAACATATCTTCACAGCAGCCGGGGATGATTTATTAGACGTTTTGAATTCGTTGTTAGCACTGAATCCGATTGAGAGGAAAACTTGCACAGAACTTTTGCAAATGCCCTATTTCAGTAATAAACCTGCGCCTACTTATGGACCTAAATTGCCTTTACCCCAAAATATAAGGAATCAACGTAATTTGGAGAAACCGTCGTTGAAAAGGAAGTTGCTTGATGCTGCGGATGGTGCGCCAAGCTTATCGAAACGTTTAAACTTTTAATTGTAATATTAAATTAAGATTAATTGATTGTTCACACTCTGTTATAAATAATTTTTTTCTATAAAAAAAATCGTAACTTATTTACACTGCAGAGGTAATCAAATTTACTCAAGCCGAATATGATGAAGAATGATCTAAAACTAATATGTGAAGATTAAAGTTAATGTTAGCAATATCTCCCCTGGGGAATATAGAAATAATACAACGTATGTCCGTATGTGTAATATTATTGTTTTATAAGAGGAGAAATGTATTGTTTATGATGTGGTGTTGCTATAAAATACGCATTATTGCAACTTTATTATAAATTGTTTTTGTAGGTGCCTAGGCAAGTATTTATCCTGTCATCGGTATGTAAATGATATTTTGCTGTCTCAGTCTGTCTATTCATCGAAATTGGTAAAGTGTGCCGTGCTGGTTACAAACAAGCAAACAAACAAACAAACAGACATGTGAAGCTAATATAATGCGTGTAAAAATGAATGTTTTTGTTAAATATTTACAACTTAGTGCTACACCTTGTATCTCCAGTACTAATTGTCGTTTTTAATTGTCATATTGTAAATTGAAAGGACATTTCGCGAAGTATAGATACACTATACTTCGTGGACCATTTACAATTTCCGGGACTCCTATATGTATCACTCACAGATGGCACTAGCATGAACTAAAAATCATAAAATAGAATTGTATTGTTTATTTCTATATTTATCGGCAAACGTGGGCATTCCGCACGAGAATTGTGTTTGTTTTAAACACTATTTACTTTCTTATCGCTACAGTCGCACGGAATGCAACGCATGAGATCCCCGAGTGTCGTCGTTGAAATCTTCTCATGCCGAATATAGCATATTCTAGTTTAGTTTAGACCGCAGGTATCGTGTCTATTGCAATTCGCGCACAAGATCGTGTGTCATCGACGCACCGGTTTTGCGCATCTCTTGTTTTCTTATCGTGAACTGTCGCGTCGTTGCCTGCTATGGCATACGCCAGCATGCGCTCTCGATGGGTTGCAGCCAGTTTCATGCCTGTCGTTGGGTAGTCTATACGTGTTTTGACCGGCTCGTATTTTTTGTTGGGACTTCTGCTTTCCAAATTTCCATTATATTTGATCATCAATCAATTATTCAATTATAACGACTATAGACATGTTATTTATTATTTGCGCGTTTAATGAACATTATTGTACAAAAGTGGTAGATATTTGATCGCGTTTCGTGTGCACACTTATGCAAATAACCAAGTTCGGTGTCCCCTCGCTAAATAAATCGGATGGCCCTTATGTAGATTTATTCATCATTAACATTACGTAAGTAAATTTTAATTCAACTACACATTTTGTATTTCTTCTAAAATGTATGAATTTATTATTGCCCATTTTTTCTTATAAATTAAAATGTCATATCTTAAATTTCTAATTTAATCAGCTTATTTTTTAGAGAATTTTCCGAAGATTAAGACTGCAGTTCGTTTCTTTCTATCTTCTTTAGTTTACGAGATACCGTGGAATCTCGGTAATCCGACAATCTCTTTGCAGGGCAGAGTCTGATTATAGAGGACTGCATAAGACCCCTACAGTCCGGAATCTTATACATAAGAGTACCTTGTAATCAAGTTATAACTTGTTCATTCACGCATTTGCGACCCTTGTTGTCGGATTACAAGAGGTGCCGGATTAGCGGGATTCAACTGTATATCTTTTTAATTTAGTAAAATTAATCGTTTGAAGTGAAAACTGCTTTAGAATCGTTGAATCGTTAACGTCGTCGGTCGATTAAGAATCTGCGATTCGTTCTTTTCAATTTTTAATCCCTCTTGTTCTATTGAATTAAATATCGCTAAAATACTCGTAACTTGTGTAAAATCGGACAATCTTTCAGTATAGAAATCTGAATTACATAATTCGGATTTTAAATTTTTATTATTTTTTTTAATCCAAATTCCAGGACTACCTACTCTTTGCATTATTTATAGATGGCACTAGCATTAACAAAAATTGTAAAATAGACATGTATTGTTTATTTCTATTGCTATCAGCAAGCGCGAGTATTTGACACGAGAATTGTGTTTGTTTCGAACACAACTTTCACTTTCTTATTGCATTTACCGCGAGAATGCAATGCATGAGATTCCCTCACGCCGCATGTTGGCGCATCTTAGTTTAGTTTTGATCGCAGGCAACGTGCAAAAGCGATTCGCGAACAAGGTCGCGTGCCATCGATGCACTGGCTATGCGCATCTATTGCTTTCTTATCATAAACTGTTGCGTCGTTGCTTGCACAGTTTGCAGCCAGTTTCGTGTCGGTATCTGCTTGATCCAATATTTTACGCGACTCGTGTTGTTTGTCCGGATATCTACTTTCCAAATTCGCATTATATTCGATCATCAATCGATTATAGTAATGTTAATTACTGTTTGCGCGTTTATTGTCCATACATGCCGGTTAAGTGTTTCGTCCCCATGTTGATTTGATATTCATCATTAGGATGGCCCATCGTGCTAGTGTAAGTAACTTTTAACTAAACAGCACAGATTGTTTGTTTTTCTCCGCTGTGTGATTATAACATTACTAAATTGTATTAAAAGTTTTTGTTTTAACATAGGGTTTCTTTGATTATTTACAGTATTTGCCGTGCCTTGGAGTCCATGAGTTCTGCATTGGTAAGTATATAATTCAATTATATTGTTCATTTTAATTTCTGCATTCTCCATTAGTTTGTATTTACATTGTTTTGATTTATCGCGTTCCACCGCGTGTTGCAAATATATATGATAGTCGCGTACTCGGCTGATACATCTCAAAATTAACTGTTTAGTTTTTCCTTCGCTTACAAAAGCGCAAGAGTTGTACTTTAAGATGCAATTCAGCGGAATTCCGCCCTAACCATCCCTATCCCATTTTTGTCTCGCTTTTATTTTAATTCCAATTATTTCGGATTAAAGATTATAAATCTTTGGAAAATTCTCTATACGATAAGATATTCAAATTGGGAAAATAAGAGAGGCTGAGAAAAATTCATAAATAAAAATTAGCTAAGGACAATTCTTGTTTCATATCACTGAGTGGTTTTTCATTTTTATTTTTATCAGAATTTTGACAATTAGTTTGTTTTTATTTACAGTTTAATTCATAGGTGGGACTAGCATCAACTAAAAATTGTTTATTTATCAACGTTTGCGTAAAACAACCTATTTGTGTCGCGTTGCCATCTGCTCATATCGCATGCAGTATATTTTTTTACCTTTTACTGTTGGAAACATAACTATTTTATATTTTTATCTGATAGAGAATAGTCCGTAGATTAAGACGCTGCGATGCGATCTTAATTATCTCTTTTTAGTTTACGAGATATTCCCAATTGAAATAAATCGTCAAAAATTGAAAAATGTCACTTTGTAGCACTTTTAGTCGCGTTTTCAGACCGTTTACCCCATTTAATTAAATTATTTTAAATTCCCATCTGATAGAGAATCTTCCAATCTTCCGTAATCAACAATTTTCTGGTTGCTATTTTTTTAGTTTAGATGATATTCACTGTCGAAAATATTTATCTTTCCTAAAATAAGTTTACCCACATTTAAATGTTTTAAAAAGTGTAAAGTACGCTTTACCGCGTGTGTGTTATCTAAGCTTTGCTTGATAGACACATTGATACATTAAATATAATTAGAGACCGACCGAAATTTCGGTTTCGGTTTCGGCCAGTTTCGGCCAAGAATTCTAGTGACTTTACTCACGAGATGGATTTTGTTTCTATAAAACGTGTAAAAACTGGCGCTGTGTAGGTTGAACTAGAAAAATATGTTTATGTAAATTAGTTTCGGTTTCGGCCGAAACTGATTGCAGAACCGAAATTTCGGTTATTATAATTTAAAATCCAGTTTCGGTCGGACTCTAAATATAATTCATAAAACATAAATATATAACATTTTACTTTTGGTTTTATTACGTTGATGTAATAACTTATAAAATCATTTATTTCAATTTTACGATGTGTAGTGTTACAAATGTATTACGGTAGCAATAAAATCGTAATAGGTTATATTTTACTCTTCTACACATATATAAATTGTGAAATATCATTTACAAAAGTGTTGGTGTGAGGTGGACATTAGAAGTTGTACATAAAAAATAGCATACATACATTTTTTAAAAATTTTATTAAGGCAACGAAATCATTTATAAAATTATTTATTTCTATTTTACAAGGTGTAGTGTTATAATTGTATTACTGTAACACTGAAAAGAAAATAAATATACGTTTACTGACATGTAGGGTAAAAGAGGGTAATGGGGGTCACTTAAGGAAAAACTAAAATATAATTTCAATTATAAACAAAATACTTATTGCAACCGCCTTTAAGCATTGTTTACTTAAAAAACTATTATTAGATATAATTTTCAGTCACTTTGACAATCAATTTTGGATATTGTTAAAGTTAAAAAAAACAGATTTGACTCCCATTGCACCGACATGCGGGTAATGGTGATCACCCAGTGCATTCCACATGAGCCCATAGCCCACATGAGGTGCATCTGAACCACATTTTACTGTTTTTTTTTTAATCGTTACACATTAAAAATCTCTTTTCCAAATCTTCATCCTCATCGCCCTGGCATAAGTCATCAGTGCCAATTTTGAAATCATAAGTTTTGTTACTTTCCTGCAATATCTTTTTTGCAAGATTGTAATTGAAAAATAAGTCATATTGTTTTTTTGTAGGCCATTTAGAGCGGACTAAAGACAAAAACGTCCATCGGGAGTCGCATGACTCCCATTGCCCACAACTACACTATTACGAAAAAGTACAAAAAAAAATTTCTTCAAAACATTGATGTAATCTGAACTACATATCACGATTTTGAATGTTTAACTAAGACTATATAAAAGTTTCATTCGAATATTGCACGTACGTAAAATTAGATCAGCGGAGCTCAAAAATAAAACAATGGCGTATCTCAATGATACACGCGCCGATTGGCATGATTTGTCGGGGGTGGCACTGAGGGGCCAGAACGGAGGTAGGGACGCCGTGACTCCCATTACCCGCTGACTCCCATTACCCTACTCTCCCCTACACGTGTTTTAAAAAGTGTAAAGTGTACGCTTTACAAACAACGTGTGTGTTAACTAAGCCTCGATAGGTTGACACAATTATATATATATATATAAAATATAATACATACCTATAACATAAATATGAAAAGTTTTAATGTTATTTTTATTAAATTAATGTAATAAAATATATAATTATTTATTTGCTGCATTCAAGTTTTTTATTTTGAGTATTTGATTGTTTTTCTTATAGTTCTTGAAAGCGACTTCAGAACCGGTTTATAGGAAGGGCTTTTAAATACCATTTGTCGTGAGAAACAGTACCAAGGTGGGTACATTGGGCCTAAGTTGTTTGTATTGCTCCTTGCTCGTTGTTATGCTAATGCAATTTTCTTTTCACCTCATGTGGATGTGGAAGCCGATCATTAATCTGCACGGGCCATGACGAGGAGCGTCTTTTGGTTTCCTCAGAACGCGGTAGAATTTTCGCTCTTGTTTCAAACTGTAAGTGATGTAATTTTATGTTTTCCTAATCTTAAATGTTACGGATTTTTAGATTTAATTTTTTACTGGGGCATTCCATAGATCTGGGCGCAGCGTCAACATCTTACATTTTGCGATACACAGAGACCAGAAGACTCGGAAAGAACAGAAGTGTGAAGCTAATAAACATCGTCAAACGTCGCTATACTTTTTTCTACTTTCAATATAATTGGACCAAAAAACAGCGCCAAATTTGTGTTTCAAATTGAATTTGGACAATAAAATACAGCGCAAAACTATTGTTATAAAATTATAACGCCTGTTTAAATCAACACAAGAATTGTTTTCTCATTTGTGTTTTGAACTTGACTGAGGTAAATAGTTTAAAAATATTCTAAGCGATAGTTTTTATTTTGCCAAGCACTTGCTGCTTGCTTTTAATGTAGTTACAATTCACATTGTATTGCTGTAGCAAAAGGTATCGTTAAGTATGTTTGTCACATATGAAATTACGTCCTTAATTAAAAGATTGTTTTTGATTTAGGTATATTGTGCTGTTGTTGTTGTTGCCTCCTTCTGTGTGTTTGTTTGGGTAGTAGGTATGTTTCTAGTGTAGCGGATAGTGTAGAAGTTGGAAACATATTTTAATCTGTACATAGATTGCCTTGCCGTTGTCCTTTGTGCTGTTTACAAATGTGGCTTGTCTTGCCCGTGTAGGACTTGGGAAATAGTTATAGCTTGTAGATAGGTAGTATGCTTATAGTAGTAGTAGTAGTAGTATTGCAGTAGTATAGCAATAGTATAGCAATAGTATAGTATGATATCTTTATAGTAGTAATTATTAAAGTAAAACTCTCGTAAAACTATTGTTTTTCGATATTGCTTGTATATAATGAGGATTTGACATCCATGCCACATGTAAACGTTTAAGTCTCTTCACTTAACTTTTACACTCTAGATTTAAAGCAAATGATTTATGTGAAACTAATTAATAAAATTAATAAATGACTTTTAAGATAACAAAACATATTGCAGAAGTAGTGGGAGAAGATTATTGTGACAATGTTTGATTTTATTGAATTTGGCTTGTATACACATAATTTCAAGACTTGTTTTCGGTTTTTGTAGTGCGTGTTATCAGTGTTTGGGTTTGCGTGTGTTGCTGCGCGCAATGTTACCTGGGGCAAACGGTCCTCTGCACGCTGCTGACATCAACGGCGACATTTGGCAAATAGTTTTATTCTAGCCGACGGACGGTGTGGTCGGCTTTACCTGTGTTCTTATTTAATTAATTTAGTGATTCGCGCTGTATTCGATCAATACTTAATGGTATTTAAAGTGAATTGACCATTGAATCAATTCGAAGATGGAATTATTTATTATAAAATGTGAATTCAAATTTTTGTGTACTGTTTCCGTCGTTGCATATGCTAACTCCATTATGGAATATACATATATTCAACTAGATATTTAGCTACACATATTTCGGTGCAATTGGCTTGACAAGTAAGTTTTCATATTGTCGAGAATATGTCAGTTGTCATGTATTGTCATTCTGCGACGAATTAAACATTATGAACTGGTATTTACCGCGATATTGTAAAATAAAAGCGAGAGAAAAGAATTAATTGCAAATTCTTAATCTACGGGAAATTTTTTATTAGGTACCATACAAAAATCGGGAAAATAAGACTCGTGTTTCACAATATTTCATTAACTAAAAGCCATAGAACGAAACAGATTAAAAATTCGAAATATTCGGAATCTGCTTCTGAAATTGCTTTCCGAGTTCCGCTATTAAACACTTTGGTAAGATAGTTATATTAGGTAATTCAATGCCTGGGTTCAATTTCTCGTACATTATTCAAAAATTCGTTGAATTTTTGGAAGTTTAGGAAGATCTCTTCCTGGAATTTTAGATTTTCTTGTAGAATGTAGTTGTTTTTCTTTGTATTCCCTGCTTATAACATTTTTATTTATTTTATTATTCATGACATCCTGCCTACCTGCCAACAAGCAAAATGAAATCACCTATAGGTATCCAGGGTCGCGTTCGGCAAGCATATCGCAAACTGATAGTGACCACGTGTTGTCGCCGTAGACTGAGCACATTGCAATTTTATTTCGGACGCCGGGTGAATCGCGCGTGTTCATCACAACTAGTTCTGTTTCGTCCGATCATAATTAGGTATATCGGTTTATATTCCACAAACATCATCATCAATCATCAATCGCAGATTCATCGTTAGTTCTATGTGCTCGCGTGTGGTTCCGTCGACCGTCGCTGATTATTTTTTACCTGTGGAATTATACTGAACTTAATTTTGGAATAGAACTTGTTGGTTCTCAATTAGCATATATAGGAGCTACCATGTAAGTAAAATTAATCAGGAAATTATCGTCTCCAACACGGGTTGTGTCACAAGTTTTCTCCAACAAAACAAGATGATCAATCGCGAATACGCGTCACACTAATAAACCGTAGCATTAATTTGCTAAATCTATTTGTATTTTATCAACAATTAACGTGGCTTGGTGTAAATTTATGGCGATCCGTCGACCGTTGGCTAGCATCTCAAGCGGGACTAAAAAATAATGTATCCTGTACCCTGGTGTTACCTACGTGAAAAATAGATTGTCTTTGTAGTTTTGGTTTTTGTCTTTCTTGAACTTTGGATTTTCTTTCTCTAACACTCTGTGCATTCCTTTTCTTTGAGTGAACGTTAATTATACTTGTAGGTTTTGGTTCTTTTTCAATTGCAAGTTGCAAGTTTCTGTTTGAGACACTCTGTATCTTAACTTCCATGCATAAATGAGCTGTATTTGTTGGTTTGAAGCGTCTCGTTTTGATCTATGAATTTTCTTTTTGCAACACCCTGTATATTAATTTTCCTTTATGTTACGTGAAAAGATACTCACATTTGTGGTGTTTGAAAGTTTCCCGTTGACGTATATTCTAAAATGAAGTTGTTTTCTTGTTGAACCACCCTGTATATTAGTTTCCTTGATTGTCGAGAGAAAACGCGCAAAGTTTATAGTGTTTAGAGTTTTTTGTTTACACTGTAAATTTTCCTTTTGTATCACCCTGTATATTTGTTTTCATTTTCCATAACGTAAAAAAAATTAACTATTCGCTAATTGCCTTATTCCGGTAGAACTGTACGAAGTGATACTTGCTTATATGTGTGCGGCTTAGCAGGTCGTAAATTCTTTTTCAATATGGCGACATGTATTCTGTTGACTTGTAAAGTCTAAACTTGTATTCTATTGTTAATAAAGAAATAGTAAGATATATTGACTTCTTTGATTGGTATGTACCTACGCCTTCTATCATTTCAGGAAGAGTTCCCTCTCTCAGGGGATGATCCCCTCTATAAAAGTTGTTAAGGTAACCTGTATGATTTGTGTACTTCTTCTCTCATTTCAGGTACAGGTCGGAACTTGTAAGAATATTTTAAGTGTCCCCTCTCTTGAGGCGATTTAAAAATTAAAAATATTTTTACAAGTCCTTAAAAGGATGTCCTTATAAGGAGTTCCCTCTCTCTGGGGATGATCCCCCACCATAAAAATTGTTGATATGCCTGATAATTCCGGGGATGAAGCGCAGAGACATCGTAGCTGTAGGATGGGCCGGGAGCAATGGACACATCGAAGCAGTGACTTAGACTGTCTAACGACACGGGCCAAAAAATTTAAAAATCTGATCCACTCCTGTTCTCTTTCTTCTATCTCCACCTCTTCTCTACTCTGTTCTCTTCCTTCTATCCTCTCTACTTCTCATTCATCTTCTATTTCTTCTATGCGTTTCTCCACTTACTTTCTTACTTTTCATATTGCCTTTACTGGTATTTCAATTTCTCTTATATTTCGTTGCAATTCATATATGCAACCCAAATTACACCTGATATTTTTATATTTTAGAAAAATGCCTTCTATACCTGAGACTCGATCCGTGCCTACTAGCATGCTAGCAGTTGCACGTACCCACTCGACCACCGAGTGTTTTTATTATTAATATTTGATTCTTCTATTTATGTTTTTACTCTATTCAACTTTTTAAAAACAATAACACCATGCTAAGTTGTTGCACACGCTCCACGCGCATAAGTCTTATATGCAATATGACTTAATACATCAATACTGAAAACGACAGGGAGGATGATACCAAAAAGAAATATGAAAGAGATTGTAATATTATATTGTGTTTTATTGACACACATTATAAAAAATATATACAATTATTCATATTGAGAACGTAAAGACTTGCCTTAAAATACGCACATCCATTGCAATGGATATTTCACTAAAACAGTCGCAGTCTGGACAAATGCATTCTGCCTGTTCCTCCTCAGTTGCGCCACATCCTATTGTTTCATCTTTCGACGTAAAGATAGCAAACCTAAAAAACGAATATTAATATTTTGTTAAATAATGTACATTAAACGCGTTAATAATAAATATCATTAGCCTAGTAGCCACAATTAAATAGTCGATTGAGAAGCAAAAATAACGCAAATTTAAAAAACAAAAGTCCGAATAAACAATACGACACGAGCTGGTTGCATCGATAGCACAAGCCGTAGCCGCGCAATAACTAATTGTTCTAGATTCCATTTTTCTAAAGACACCGCATTACGCCTTTTCATATTTATTTAAAACGCATATGTAAAAACGTATAAATAGTGCGCCAACTAAAATGTACCGGATTATTGTATTCTCAACTTCAGTTAATAAACAATTAAAGGTTTACATAAGTGTTCCTTTGGATCACTTACTAGGAATCTGATTAATAAATCCTTAAATAACACAAGTGAATCGAAGTTCTTTAAACAATTTCTAATTCGCGAGCGCGATCCGTACAAATTAATGTATATTTGATCAATTCGTTAACTAAAAGATAAACTCTTTTAATATAAAAAATCACTCGACACGAATCGCGAATATAATTTGTATGTCGGCGAACGTGCAATGTAAACAAGTTGATAGCACGCGGCTATCTTGCAATGCGAAAGATGCAAAGCAAAGGGTACATCATCCAAAAACATGCCTGCGCCAGTAGAACTGGAAGAAAAAAATAAAAATATCACGAAACGATTGCGAAATATGAGCAGTTTTCCAACGCAAGTCTTAAAATATTCGAGAAGCGCAAAAGGCAATACATGTTTGTCGTATAAATTATAATGAAAAATATGATTGAATTATAAACTTACTAATTGTTGTGCGCATCAGTCGCCAGGGCACAGCAAGTGCTGTAATTAAGAGATAAAGTTGAGACATACTCGTATCATAAGGTTTATGAATAATATATTCACGTAATATAAAAAAATACAATATGTGTTGTTGAATTAATTAAAAGTAACATAAGCGAGAATAATAATGATCCTATATCTGATTCATTTAGCGACCGACACCGAACCTTGAACTTGCATAACTGTTCACACGAAACTCGATCAAATATATACTACCACTTTTTAACAATAATGTACATTAATCGCGCAAGTAATATATAACATCACTATAGTAGTTGCAATTATATACTCGATTAATGATCAAATATAATGTAAATTTAGAAAGCAGAAGTCCGAACAGACAATACCAGTCGGTCAAAACACGTCTGGATCGAACAGCGACCGGCACAAAACTGGCTGCAAGCCATCGATAACACATGCCTTAACCGAGCAAGCAACGACCCAACAGTTTAAGATAAGCAAGAGATGCGCAAAACCGGCGCGTCGATGGCACACGACCTTGTGCGCGAATTACAATAGGTTTAGATCGCGATTCCCGCGAATCTCATGCATTGCATTTCACGCGGCGGAAGCGATAAGAACGTAAATTGTCTTCAAAACAAACACAAATCTCGTTCCGATTGCCCACGTTTGCCGATAAATATAGGATGACAATGACAAAAATTCATTATTTAAAAACCCATTTATAAAATTGGATGAATTTTATTGCAAGCAGCTAGGCACAAAGCTTTCTTATATACTGGAAGTTACAAACGTATTCTCTTACAACAAACTGCAGTGTGCATGTAAATCGTACATTATTATGTGTAATTGTAAAACTAATATTATATTTATATATTTATATATAGTCGATCACAATTGTTAAGTAACACCTTATTCGTACATAATGCATCATAATTTCAGTTGCCAGAGCACCATTCTATTCGTAAACCTATACACATTCGTGGCGCAATATAAAAAGAAAACACATGTTTCTGTGATTTAGCTGCATTATTAAATACTCGATAGGAAGATGTATATTTATGAGTGTAAATAATACGATCCTTAACTACGCAAAGAAGTAAAACCTGCGCACATTCTAAACATATATAACAGCCTATAAAATAAATAAGTAAAAATGCGCATTAAGTGTCGCATGTAAGACCCACGCGTGTGGGAGGTTGTAATCTGGATTGTTGGCCATCGTCTTAGCCATTTCGGGTTAAATGGTAAGAGATGGTCGAGTAGGAATTATTACCAGATTATTGGCAAAATATCAGAGGTGGCATTTGCGAGGTTCACATCAAATTGCATTTCGTTGCCACTCATCAGCGAAGCACACGCGCAGTTCTCCAAGACAATACAAAGCGAAGGAATCGTTACTGGACTAGGCACGTTAAGCAATAAAAATGATTGAAAGCATTGTCGACCTACGAGCCGATGATAAGCGTCTCCTTCAGCGCCGTGAGCTGCTCCTCGCCTAGTTTGATCTTGTCAGCTATCTCCTTGGAGTCCATCAAAAGTTTCGCCTTCATATTGATAAAGTGGTCGTAGTCGGCGTACTCTTCGGAACTAAGGTACTTGTTAAGTATCGTTGATACACTCAAACTACGCTTGTCGATGCATTCTTTTAGTTTCTTAGCCTCTTCTAGTTGATCCAGTAATTTGTTCCGTTTTGTTTCCAAAATTCGCTGCAGAAATCAAGTAAAGAAATTAAAATTACAACCAAACAAAAATTAAATGCATTCTTACCCGTTCAGCATAATCTTCGTACGTTGACATCAATGCATTTTCGGCGCGAGCCAATCTTCCAGACAGACTCAGCAGTAGACTAGTAATTTTGCCCACTTCCTCAACGTGCAGCCGAAATTTCGAAGCTTCGTGTGGCCGTGCTAAACGTTGCACATGATCTTCGACATTTTGTCCCAGTTCCTCATTGATGCGGCACTCTTCTGTTAAGTCGAGTTGCTCACTCCGGAGCACTTCCAATTTTCTATCTAGGCGACTAATTAATTCATCCTGCAAACATTTTAATATCGTTTAAATAACATTTTCAAAACATTACAAAGCCTCATATGCCTTACCTTCTTCTGACTGAGATCTTTGGTATCCTTTACAATATTTAGGTGGTTCATGTCTTGACTGTATCTGGTGAGAAGACGTGCTTTTGGCTCGGAGGTGGTGAAATAAGGCGACGTAGCTGACAACGGACTAACCGGTTCCAGACGCAACAATGCCGAAGGCGATTCACTTTTGAATAGATAAAAAAAACTGTTAACAATAGTTGCGACGTGATAAGTACAATTGCATACCTAATGGTTGACGTTGAATTCGCATTGTGAATCGTGCTCGATGGTGGCGGACTGCTGCTTGGTGTATTTGTCCGGCTTCTGCTAAACGGCGAATTGGCTGGCCTAGGCCGCGAGGTAATCTCAAGCTTGAATAGCCCATTCACATAATCAGTAGGTTTCTTATAATCAGGACCTTGAACTACAACATGAACAATTAAAATCAAACCTTGAACATACATTAAAAAACCTATCATCTTACCCAAGATATCCTTGAGTTTAGCAGACGTAGGCAATTGATTCACAAAGTCTTCGGAAAGTCGTTCGCAGTCAATTTCTTCCTGCAACTTTTTCCTTTGATGTGGCACCAGGGTTGCAACAGGTGGTGGTTCAGCCTCCACCTTCTCAGCCGGCTTTGTATCAGTTTCCGTTGGTTTTATTTCTTTTGGACTTTCTGGAATGCGAGGTGCTACTGATATAGTGGTAGGCACAGGTGAAGTTGGAGTGGTAGGTGGTGATGTTTTAACAGGTGAGGAAACAGAAAATAGTAAACTTGGAAGCGCAGGAGGGCTTCCGGTTGTAGGCGAACGACTTGCAGCCGGTGAACCTCTAGACACTGGTGAAATTGGCGAACGTGGCGAGGCAGGTGAACAAGTTGATGGCGTGCGTAAAGTAGTCCTAGTTCTTTCGGCAGTCAACACAGGACGAGTAACAATTCGTGGACTCGCTGGTGGTGTGGGAGGTGTTTGTACAAATGGTGGTGTTGATATCAATGTACACCTTAAAGAATTGTACGGACTTTTGCTTGGAGAACTCGGCGGACTTGCTTTCGGCGATTTCTTGTTGCCGTTCGTGGTATTAAAACCGTTAATGCCATTCACACCGTCGATGCTAGCGGGCGGCAGTGACAGATAACACGGAGCCATCATCTTCACATTCACCGGAAGCACGTCGGGTAGAATGATCGGATGCTTCTCCTTTTCTTCGATCTTCATCGATTTGTCGTTCATCGAAGCGCGTCGAATGATGTTGACATTGTTGTTGTTCTTCTTGAGGATGGTCTCCTTCGGGCATTGTGTTTGCTGATAATCGTTGGCAATCGCGTGGCCATTGGGGGAAATGGTGCGTTTGTAACTTCCTGTATCCGAATCCGGTACGATTCTTTCGCGTTCTCTTCGGGACGCCAAATAAGATGCTTTGGACTGACTTCTGAAACAAATTTACATTGCATTAATAATCATACAATGTTTGTACTCAATTTTGATGTGTATTTCTCTTTATAGTTTAACAAATTATTAATGATTGTTCGATAAAAGTCTTTGCCTCGAATTGGCAAGCGCCAAACTACACAAAAAAAAACATAAATTTATAGATTGGTCCAACGAGGCAACCAGATGTTCGCCGTTTTGTTACGTCAGTATGTAAATACGTGTCTTCCAGCAATGGACGGTGCGGCGGTGCAAGCGAAAGTGTTAACGACTTTGGTAATTAAATGTCGAACTGCTGGACACTGCCACAACCTCGTCTTGAGTATTTTTTAAAGAAAGTTTGTTATCTTGGCTACTGTACAAAACAAACAAACGAATTGTGGCTTTCTTTCAATCACACATTTGCCAGATGCAAGCTTAATTGATTGATAATTATTATATGTGAAAACTTGGTTTTTACTTCTTAACGCGTGAAAATGAGCGTTAATTTCTCAAAAAATCAGTCATTAATACCATAAAACAAAGACTTTCTTTCAAAGGTGTTGTTTGGTTTCTTCAACGCACCAAGAAATAAATAATAAAGTCATCAGCAGATCATCATCTCATCATGAGATGAGAATCGTTTCTTTGAACTACAAGAATGTTGAAGTTTGCTCATAGATAAAGATAAATCCAAACGTCGCTTCTGTGAGTTTACAGTTACCCAGCCAGCGGACCCAACCGGGGAAAGTAGTTAATCATTGATATTTACATTTTATCGCCAGAGAAAATAAACACTTCACCTGCCCTCCTAATCTATTTGCCAAAGCTACAAGCCCGCACAACCAGTACGTCACACGGAAATTAGTTTTTGTTCATTCACTGGGTTCTTTATTTTCCCGACAACAATAAAACAATGAAGCATGATAATGATAATGCACATTGTTGTTTGTTGCCTTCTAGTATGCGTGAGTGTGTGTGTGTGTGTACGTGGCGAGTGCGGCGCTTGAGCATCCATTGTGTCGGACAATCAACAATAACTTTGCCTCTACCGTCAAGGCCGACATTAGCGTGAATGAATATGCCCGCGTACATAACCGACTGATGTTGATTGCCTCCCGAAGAAATCAGAGACGAAGAGGAGCAGCACAATACAGAGATGCGCGCAGATAATGAGCGGGCGATAACGAGCAGTCGGCACAAGAAGAGTCTCATTGTTGCACTTTTACTCGGATTCGCATATGAGAGGCGAGGGAGTGCAGAACAACGAATTGAAATCCGGATATCTTTCACAAAATTTCTCTATTTTTTTTATGCCAGTTATTTCGTTGTTTGCGGAATTCGCCGTCGGTTGTTGCCGCTAATGAAGCCGCAATCGCAATCATTGAATTAAAATAAAAAGACAATTCATCAAATAAACTGGCCATTCTAAAACATTATTATTATAACCATTAAGTACAATGTAAAATTATTTATTATTAATATGTGCCTGACATTGTGATTGTATGTTTGGAAAACATTAAATAATCGATATGTAAATACTCGTTGGTGAAATTAATAGCAATTAGATTAGAAACACACAACCTGCGTAATTAAAATAATTGAATTAATCTCGATTGGGTATAATTAAAGTAATCAAAGCAGCGTTTTGCATGCGTTGATACGTTTTGCAATTGAAGCTGATTAAAGATCAAGATTTTCACTTGGCATGTGTATCACGCATGCGCATTAAACCCTGGCTAGTTTCTTGCAATTATAAATTTTCGACTTGTTATGATTGATCCAAATCACATCGATGTGCTTTTTTCTTCGTACCATGATGCGATGCAAAAGTGTAAATAAACGCAAATAGAAAATCAAGTGAAATTGGCCCAGTTTTAATTGGGCAGCAGCGTCATTAGTTGTCAATCGTCGTTAATGCCGACAAAGTCTTGGTGCGACCGACGACCGGTCGCCGCGTTTCCGATTGCAATTAATAAATTTATAACCGCGGGTCTTTAATTATATCAACGTGCACTACTCTCTTACTCTATATCGCTTAGTCAGAGTTGTTTGTGCTCTTGGCACTAATTTCGATTCATTCACGCCAAGTCTAGTCGAAAATCGCGATTTCACTTTTGTTTTGATTTGAGGAGATAAAATTCGGGGATAACGCACCACTCCCAAACGCCAAAAAAAAAACACTTTCTGCTAATAGTAAAAGTGGCTAAAAAAATTTCGGCCTTTTCATGATTCCAAGCACTAAAATTATATGCGCACGCAAATCAGATGCTCATCCGCGTGTAAACGAATAATGTTTTATGCATCATGTTCGCAATGTACACGTACGTACAATTTTATTAACTCGTTTTTTTTTCGCTCGGTGAATTCGTTCGGCGATCGCGATGCGCGACCGTTGATGATGGCATGCATGTTTCTCTTCTTCGGCTGCTGGTTGTCTTCTGCATGGCGCGAGTGAAAGTACAATGTTGTTGTTGACCCTGCCGATGTGTATACACGCTGGTAGAAAATTATAAAACTGCTTGTCGTTTGTCCTGCTGTCGTCTCCTCTTCGGCATCTTCGGCGAGATTCACAAATATTTACATTTTGCAAATGTCAACGCGCGTCTTTGAAAATTTGCACGTTTTTACGAGCAAAGAAAGTCGCCGGCAATAATGAATTAAACATAAACATCATGCGCGGTATGTAAAAACAGCGCCAAAATCGGTATTTTCTGCTGGATTGCCAACGGCGCATCAACATCTTGTGGTGATTCGTTGCATGTCATGTCACCCATTGAGCCGCACTCCTGTCTACCTTGTAAAATACGCGCACAATGTGTACTTCGGGCGCGAGTGCATAACTGTAGATTTTTCGTGGAGATACGCAACGCGCTCTCGCTCATCCGTTATTCGTAATAACCCCAGACGAGTTCAAGACCGAAACCAACTCGAAACAATAAAACACCAAAAATATTTCGGAGCATAATCTAGGAAAAAACTCGACTCTCTAACAAGCTCGTTTAAAAAACACTACACGAACTTTACTGTGAACTCTAAGACTTCATCGCAAACGTAACACGGACCGAATTAAAGGCAAAAAATTAATTTCACGAAGACGCTCTTAATGTAATAAAAAAAACGTGGAAAATGTGAGAATGGACGTCATGGCGTTAACTATAATATGAGTTACTGCGTCAACTCACTTGACTATTCGGTAACGTGCAGACCAACAGCAGCAACAACAACTCGCCATTATTTAACAATTACGAACGAGATTCGTAAGCGTACAAGAAACGCGACGAGTTTGCCTTACTAATTAAGTTGAACGTTTCGCATCTCCACATGTACTGACGAGTGTTTCAAATGAATCGCCGGGTTGCCGCGAATTGCTGTAAATATTCCGCGTACATTCGGCGCATTGATGCGAAAAATCTAAATATAACCAGCAAGCAACACACAGCGTATGAGTTTCGCCGTTTGTTGCGCCCGTTCAGCAATAAAACGCAATGAAACTATAAATAATTGAATACAGAACATTAAGACTGAGTAAACATGCGCACGTCGCCGGCGAAACGCTGACGATATTATTACATCATTTCGGGAATTCGCATTCTGGGCATGTTTCTTTAAATATTTGCATGTCTCATGCCCGAGAAAACATTAAAACTGTGGATGCATTTAGGTTAAGCGCGGTAGCACATTTGATGATTTGTTGATCGAAAATATTAAACACACAATAAAACATATACCAACCTTAGAAATTTGCATATATTATACAACGCAACAAAGATATATCTTTATTACTGCGCATCACATATTTCAAGTTTCCTATGCCTTTATGCATGATGAGTGTCGGTAGTCGTGCGATAATATTAACTCATAAACACTTTCAACAGTTCCAACTGTTAATTTTAATCAACTGCGCGTGCTGCAAGTTCTACACTCGCTGTGCATTGGGAGACGCGAAATTTCTGATACGTACTGAAACCGGTCTTCGCAATAATAATTACATCGCGTTTGTTTTTCATTTTATAGTACGCTTCGACGGTCGGTCGTTCGCCGGTCGTGATAAGTCATTAACAAGAGAAGTCACAAGTTATTAGCTAAACTTTGTTTGCACTGTAATGACTTCGGTCGCGTCTACTTATACCAACCGAAAAATCGATCGGGAACAAATAAAGCAAAAACAATGATACTGTTTGAATGAAATCCCGCATTCTTGGTCGATGCGAAAATATATGCTGGTTATAACATGGGGTCATTGTCATCTGAGTCGTCACAATGCATAATTAAACAAGCGAATGGAGTAAAAATGTGAAAAATATGTAAATTGGCTGCAAAGTCGGCGAACTTTGTAAGTGAAAACACAGATGCGCCGAAGAAGACGAAAGAAATTTCTAATATTTTAATAATTTGCGAATGTTAACGCACGCACAGCACACACTCAAGCAAGTTAAACAATAACGTAATAAGATTCAATGAAAGTTTCTTGAGCGAAACTCGCATGCGTGGAATTTTGGCAAAACATGCTGTTTATGTTAATTGAGTGTGCAGTCGTCACGCCATTTCCATTTACATACTACCAAATTCAAAGCGAGTGTTGAAAAATGCAAATGGACGCCCATTTTTGAAGGCTTTTGGCTATTAATTTCCGCCATTAAAAGCACCAAATCATAAATAAATAGATACGCGTTAGGGGATTAATTATTATCGAAATATTATATATGTACAATACATTATCAGTATTTTTATATTATCTTATCTTTCAATAGACAAACTTCAAACATAAAAATATTGCGATGGTGCGCTTTAATCAAAATAATCACTCATTATTTATGATTTCTGACACATCGCATTGCAATCACGTCAAACGCCATTGATAAATTGAAATATCCACTAAACATGTAAACAATCATCAAGTCTCAACCAGAATTATGTATGATCTAATACGCAACTGATGTTTTCAATTATTTTGCCTCAATTGAACCCTACAAAGACCTTAGTCAAACTCACAACAAAGGAAATTATATTCATTAGTAACATTGAAGACTCAAATTGATTGAATTGAAAAGTCGAGGTGTTAGCTTGTGGCGTCCTGTCCGTCCGCAATGAACAATTGAATTAATTATTTATACGAATGCTGTTTGGCAATACACACTCACACGACCGTAGCGCGCATTGCTGACTCAGTGCGTTTCTCCGCGCCGCGGCCAATTGTTATTAACCTTCCGACTTGTAGGTGTGCCGCCCTCAAACCTCAGCCGCCGTGCGGACAAGGTAAACGCGTTCGAACGCGAAATAATGCACACAAACATTGCGCAACCAGCGCGTCGAGCAATTATTTATTATTTGTGTATTTTATCTCGACGCGAAAATCTAATTGTATCAATGGCAAGCAACGGCTGGCCAGCGGTTAACCCAAAAACTAATAACTCAATAACTCACGCCGCAAACGCCATAATCAACTCACAGGCAATTTATTGGATGTTTCACTTATTCTACGCGTGCCATGCTTTTTTATTGCTCGTAATGTTATAGACGTGATCTACTAGTGTCGGTGTGGTGAAAATTATGAAATAAGTTGCCGTTTGGCATTTGGTGGGTTTACCTTCGAATACGAAACTTGTTTCCACTGCCGAAAACCATCTTGCGTAATTATTGCTAATTGCAGCAATTGATTTGGGGTTGCACTAATTATAATCCAAGTTTTAGCAATGTTGCACCACGTTTCTTTGGTTTTTACTTTTATGCCATCAGAATGTCATTTAAAATATCGGTGTTTGAATAAAGTTTAACAAGTTTTCACACCTGAGCACTGCGCATTTTCACTTTTATCACCTTCGAAATGTCGATGTTATAATACAATAATTATAAAAGCTGAAAACTCTCGTGAGCAGCGTGTGGCGGTCGCGTGCGGTGCGTTCACTCACGCGGTTGAGCTCATACTAACCGAGTCGCGATGGTAAAATGGTAAAACACGACGGTAGCAGTAGCACCGACCGCGATGCACAATGTAAGTACCTACTACCTGGCCGCCGAAGCTCCCTACCTATGAAGAAATGGTATATCTGCACGAAGATCGCGTCGGGGTTCACATGTGGAAAATGAGCAAGTTTTAGTACCTGTGAACTTCAAGTAACACCTAGCTATACCGTACCACTCTGCGCTTAATTATTAATTTGTTTGCTTTTAATGGCTTTCCAGCTTATGGCAAAATTGTTTTTCACCTTTCATCTTAGAAGATAACATTTCGTCAGTTGAGCAGTTTGTGCAGTTGATTAGAAAATTCACGGCAATTAGGAATGTGTTAACATTACGAACACCAACCGATGGTTACGAGAATCATTAACTCGAGTGTGTATTGGAGTAGATTTATGCCTTGGTCGCTTCAAAGACGTTTAGACGCATAAACGCATACAGGTCAAGAAGTTGGAAGAAGAGGAAAGTTAGACGAAGAGAAAGAAAGCGTACCGAATGTGGATTGCAAGTCGAAAGTTAACGAAGTGAAAAATCGTTTACTAATTACAATAATTACATGTATGAAGTACGAATTCGATTGAAAGAGATTGACACGCATCTATCAGCTGGTGTTTATTACTAACGAAAAATTTTGCAAGCAGGTCAGGTTCTTATTTGCAAAAAAAACTTAACGACTTTTTCGAATAAATAAATAAACTTCAGGACCTACATTTTAAATTGAACACGATTTATACACTTTCAGTATGCCACGCGCCACCTTTACCAAACAAAAAACGAGGGAAGCGCATGAATGAACACAATAAAAGAGATGCCAGATGTTAAACTATAAAAATAGGTTTACGCAGAGACATCTGCCACTTGAATGTGGGCCGAAATCACGAACGAGGGAGAATAAATATCTAGTACATTTTATGTGCCACTAACTAGGACGCACCCCATGCGTCTAGCCGCGATAAATATAAAATTGCATCTCGAAATAACTCGTCTTCGACACGTTTTAATTTGCCTGGCGCGCAGCTTCATGAAATTAATGTAAACTGGCGATAAACACATCGTAACATTAAATTAACTCGGGTTACTTAAAAATCCCACTCTGTAATCACATAAATAAAACAACGCTCCTGCATGCGTCGCGCAACTTCGTTTTGCTTGATTTGCTCGGATATAAATACCTTAAAGCCCTTTTAAAGCCGGGATAAACTACCTGTTACCCGCTCCTGGGTGCGTGAGACAACAGCCGACAAGCCGCGAACATTAACGCCGACACTTTTCATCCGCTTGCGCCGCGCCGCGCAGATAACATCTCGGAAGAAGCGGCCATCGCCAACGCGCACCTAACAATCAAGACACATTACACGTGAAACATGGACCGAATCGCGGAATGGACACGTCTTATCGCATACGCTAACGCCGCGCGGCATACGTGCTTATTAAATTTTCATATGATTCATGTGAAAGATTCCGATTGCCGTTTGCGCGCTCGCAGATTGCAGCGGCGTGCGAATGGTCATTCTATTGTCGAACAATAGTTGGCAGAGATGGTGGAGATGCACGACGGAAAATTGCACGTGCAACATGTAAAATGCATGGCGTTTAATTGCCGCCGGTTGCGTTGAAATTAATGAAGACATCTAAGAGGGATCTTCACGCTTAAATCTTCGCAAATCTTGCAACCTGCAGCACGAACAACGCATGCATACGGAATATATTAATTATCAGTTCACGTTGCACGCCGTGGTAATCTTGATAAAACAAAATGGCGTCCGATTACAACCATGTAATCCGCGAATTTTCTTCCACGGTTGTGTATAAACAAGCATAAAATGTATGAATCACAAAATCCTTGACCGTTCAAGGGACAATAAACCAAAAGTCATAATCGCGATGAACACGTACGAAATTAAACGCTCCAGGAGAGCTCAATTCGCGCATGGTTTGCACCCGACGGTTGCATATATTCAAAAATGCTTGAAACAATTGCAAATGTTGCCACGGCGTCTCCTCGTGTTCCGGTTTTTGAACTCCGGATGTGCGACAGGTGGAGCGAAACTTCCAAATAAAAAACGACGTAAATTCGTTGCACGCACCGCAAGCGCACCACTTGAACAAGATACGTTAATCCTCGGGTTTTCGTACCGAAATATGAAGTCAACGTTTCGGTAATTATTTCCGTATGTTTGTTAAGGTGTAGCGCCGTATAATTTATGTGTTTTGTATCATTGTATGATTCAGCATGCCAATATGCAAATGTGATACGAAATGGCCGTAACGTACAACAGTTTATATCTACTTTAATTAGCAAATTCGATGAAAGCACGTGAAGCGGGAAATTCCGTGTTATACACGTTTACATTTCATTACGCTCGCACATGTTTTCTATGTTGGCATATCACATGCGGAGAAACATCCGATGTTATTAATATTCGCCTAACGTTGGTTTACTTCGTGACTTGCTGTTTGATTGTCATTGAATCAACTCATTGTTTACCGTTTTGTTTGGTTTGTGCACCTGTCCGAAGATCAAGAGACGGGCGGCTGTTGTGATGCTTTATGAATTATTCATCATGAAGAGTTAATTTAAATTGCATTGTTGCGGTTTATCATAGGCAACCAATTATACATTGAATTCGGAGGCATACGGCTTTAAACTAGATAGAAAATAATAAGTGACTTACTTTTGATAATTAGGAGAACCAGGCGATGTAGGCTTCATCATATGTTGCTTTTGACTCTCCGTTGATGGCGATATCCGCAAGGCCACAGCCTTGGGTCTGTGGTCTGACATTTTGGCCCTCATGCTTTGATTAACTCGCATTTGCCTTGGTTGCAATGGAGGCGGACAGTCCTTCGAGGAACTCTCCGCGAAAGAAGCGCGTTGTTGTAGTTTAACTACTGGTTTCTTGTCAAAGAGTGGTTCAGCTCTCATGGGTTTACTACTGCCCACCTTTTGATTCACCGCTACAGAACCAACCACTCTTTTGCTTGGACTTCGAGTGACAGTAATGCCCAGTTGTTCTCTGGCGGATTTTTTTCCGCTCTCCGGCAATCCCACAATATGTTTCTTCATATCATCTTCGTTTACATAGTTTGCCGATGACACAGCCACCTGTGGAGCAGGCACTTGTTGCGCACTATATTGATGACTACTCGTATTTTCCCGAATACTATTTCCACCCCCATTCAGTGCGTTCCCTGCCTGTAACCGTTCTTGATCATTCCAAGCCTCTGCTTCTAATTCGGTCGGCGGTGGTGGTAGTGGATCGTCATTGGCGAACACTTCCTCGTCCAATTCGGTTGGTGGAGGAGGAGGTGGCAAGTCAGGGCTGGGCACGCGCTGTTCCCGAAACAGATCGGGGTACGCAGTGCGCAAGTGCGGATTCTTGGGAGGCCGTTCCGGCACCCAATCATCCAAAGAAATGGAGGGTCCCATAATGATTGGGCCCAACAAATCCGTCGTCAAACTGCCGTAGGAGTTGCTGTGTTGATGTTTCGGCGCCATACTGCTTCGCTTCGAAACGTTATTCGACGAATAATCGGAAGCGGAAGAAGCACGCCGCGAGGGTAACTGAGTTTGGTGACGCTGCGGTTGCGGCTGCGGATTCACACTTTGAGTCGCATTGGCCGCAAGCGGCGTGGCCGGCGTGAGTTGTGGTTCCGACCGCCAGTTGGTTTTGTTCGACTGATGCCGCTCGTAGAACGAGAGCAAGGCCTTTTTCTGTATGGCTTTGAGTGTCGGATCCGGAATCTTGTGCTTTTTATCCGGATCCAAGTATGAGTACTTTTGTTGCTTTTCCAGTTCGTTGATGCGATCAGCGACCGTTAACGAATCGGACAATCTGAAAAGATGCAATCTCTCGTTTAGAACTCATCAAAGCATAATGTAAATTAGTTTACATACCGATTAGATGGCAAATCATCTTTCACTGTGTAAGTATTAACAGGGAACAGCTTCAACTTGTTGGCGTTGTTCTTTCTCGATTCTTTGTGCTTCCACCCTTCGGGACTTGCATCATTGGTTCCGCTCGACATGAAGAGCACACTTTCGGAATGATGCCGCTGCGGCGTTTGCACTCGAGCACTATGTGCAATCAACTGCTTGTTGGATGCCAAGTGAGTGCAACTGCTAGCAATCGACACATCACTCATCGATCCATGCCACTTGAGAGTTTCACTCGACGAGGCACTTCCCGAACTGGTCGTCACCACACTGTCGCGGCCTTCACGTCTATTATCATCGTCCGACCATCTTCCGGGAACAGCGTCACTGTCTCTCCGCAGTCGATCCAAGAATGGCGTCGACGTAGAATCAGCACTGCTCACATAACTATGATATCCTTCACTCTGAGCGTAGGATAATTGTTTCTGATGAGCTTGTAGATGCATTAAGATACCATCTTCACCACGCACCCCGTTCGAATGCGGATACAGCGAGTATTTGATAAAACTTTCGAGCTCCGTCTGCCCAGCCGGATATTTATTGTTTTCCGACGTTTCCTGCTGATACAAATGCGCGTACTGTTCAAGATCCGCTTGGGTCAGCTGCGGTTTGCACGTGTCACGTTCCGGAGGTGAGGGGACAACGTAATCTGCATCCCCCAGCTGTTTACCGTCGCGATCGACGTGTGGCAGGTAAAGACGTCGCTCATACGAGTCGCCGTTTATTTTTTCGCAGCGTTCCATCACTGTCTTGAGTTTCTGCAATAAAAAGATTATTTTAGTACTTTTAAAGCACTTAATGTAGGGTTTTTATGGATTAAATGTTTAGTTTATGCATGCGTGAATCGTTACCTGTTGTGTTTGCGAGTGTTGCCGCTTCATGTACGGTCTAGTGTACGTGACAACCTGTTCCTTAGGGTAGTTAGTGTGATCCGTCCAGGATTTCGACCGATGGGAGCCTCCACTTGGCGGTCCACGCAATGCATGTGGAGTCTCAGCTGCTGCTGGCACCGGCCACGATGGAAATTTTTCATGTCCCGGTCCATACTTCACTGATTTCAGTGTGGAAGAGTCACGAACAGGAGGTGCTGGAGGTGGCGACTCTGCATCCCTTGACGAACTCCTGTACAGCTTAGTGCCTGACTGCGTCTCCTGCTGCAGATTCGGCGTCGAACGCGATGGCATCATTATGCTATCCGCGTAAATATCTTTGCGTGTCCTGCGTTTCGATTCGTACCCATTACACTGCACTCTAGTTCTGCAAGTAAAACATCACGATTAATTTTTAATCATTCCGAACTATTAAATAATATTTTGTTGGAATTTAAACTCGTCGCGTCTGTACTTGTCGCCCGTTGGTAAACAACTGAAGAAAGCTTGTAAGATTATGTGTCTTACGGGTGCGAGGTAAGAATATACCGCATGTAAGTACCTGGGTTTATGGTGCTTTCGGCGAAGAAGCACGTTTTGCTTATCTGCATTGAAAAAAGGGAAGCAGAAGTGTCTTCTGGAAAGTGTCACCCGCCTTTCACAGCACGGATAGGCGCATCATCGTAAATAACAGCAATGGACCGCTTTTATTGCACTATCTATAGGCACAACCCCCAAGAAAAGATAATTGTGACGCAGCAGCTATTGCCACGCCACATTTGCAAAGCCTAAATAATGGAAATGTCTTGTATTTTTTGTATTCCTCTATTCACGTAAATTATTTCCCTGAATTTATAGACAATCAACAAAAAACATGTTTAAGCCGTTCAAATTCTATCTATTAGAATGAATAAATCAAACAAAGTCAAGGAGAAAGGAGATTGTGTCGACGAAAATTAATTCACAAAACGTAATCGAAAAAATCATTAAAATATAGTCACCCCGAAGCGCTCCGACACAAAATACATATTACGATCGCTCTGATTTTCAACGCGAAGAAAAAACGCGCCGAGTAACGAAATGCAGCCATAAATTATCCGTGCCGGAGCGTTGCGGAACAATATTGCACGCTATCGTGCAATCACCGAACGTCAAATTAAGCATCAACGCTAATAACAAAGAAAGCAACTTTACGCAAGTGAATGGTGTACGCACGCGCAAAGGGCGAAAAACAAACATTCATGTTAAAATACGTTTTAAATAAAATATGATTCGAAATAAAGAAAAAACACACAAATTCTAACGGCACTTGTGCGCCAACGGATTCGATTGGATTACAGATTAATCTACTTTGCGTTACTTTCATCGTTGCCATTATAATTTCATTTCTTTCTCTGCGCGCGCCGGCCGAGAAAACTCATAATCCATTTGTACGTGAGCAGCAAAGTCGATTCGACGCCACATCACATAACCAGATTAAAGGAGCCACATAACATTCATAACAATAATTCGTTAATCATGCTCACGTTTTCGTCGTCTCGAGGTGTGCGAGATACACGAGTAACGTTAACCTAAGTTCAAACCACGGCAGTAAATTATACGCGAGGAGAAGAGCGAAACGCTCCATGAATACAATGTGTGTACGAATGTATAATTTACACATTCGACGACCTGCATCTGTTTGCTGCCGCGAAACGTGCGCGAGTGTGGGGGTCTTAAGGAACTTAATTTTACTTTTTTTCCGAAAACATTTCGGCGCGATAATGTCATCCGTTTATGCTTGCATTATGAAGCAACGCGTAACCCTATTACACAATCGCAGGCGCGCGTAGGTTAATCAGTTTTCGAGCAGCGATTGTATTGTGCGGTGAGAATTACGAGAATTACTGTAAATTTATTTATATCCGATGCAGTTGGCACAGAAATTTAAGTGTTAATTAAGTTGCCTATGCAACAAGCACGCAGGGAGTTGTAGACATGCGCGGAGATTATGCGCTCGAGCCTTGGTTATGTTTAATAAGTGAACGGCATCGGCGGCTTTTCGACGTTTGCCGCTGATTAGTGACACCTACTATTCTCAGTTGGGTTTTATGATTTCGTAGGTTTCTTACCCGGCATAATACCATGTAGAATTTTAATTGAAACGTCGTGGCAGGATGAAAATATTTTGCGCTTATTCGATTTCTCGTTTTGTTGAAGATAAATTTTGTAATAATAATTGCTGCATTTGCGTCGGGCGCAGAAACTTATGTTGAAACTATGATTTCAACCACCCACACTTACAGCTTAAATACAAATGTAAACACAGTTTGTGTTATATAATTATAAATACGTCCAAATTTGGTGAAGACCAGCTATGAGTAAACGTTTTCATAAGTCACATTAAACATTGCGGCATGTAACTGCTATATAGGTTTATTATTGATATTTTATTCGATTCCAAGCGGCTTAATATGGGCAAAAGAACAAAAACAAGAAAATATTCTTTAGCTTTATAAAACCAGTACAAATCCTTTCAGATTCGCAGACTATTGTGTCCAAATTTTTCAACAATACTAACTCAATCGAATTGCCAGCCAGCTGAGTAAGATTCTCTTCTATGGTTTGGTTTGCTTCTATGAAACAAACATTGGTTGTTCAAAGCTGAAAATAAAAAGGCAATCGCGCAGCGAGCAGCATGGAATGCGGTTTGTTCGAGATGTGCGCGCACGGTGCAAACACTTCTTCGGCCACTCGGCACACTCTGGGCTACAAAGCCGTTCCGTTCGTTTTTTCACGTTTTCCCGGCGGTTTTATTTTGTTTTCATCGCGATACTTCTATATCTAATATCGGCTGCACGTATATAGGTTGCCCCCATTTACTGGCAACACGGCGAACGCTTCGGAGCAAAGGTAGCAGCAAAACAATCTTAAAAACTCGTAGAAAATGTAGGTAACCCTCGCAGGTAATTTTTTTTAGTTATTATTGATTCATTACTCGAAAACCAATCAACATAGATTGATATTATTCGTAAAAATCGACTCAGAATTAAATCTAATGCATCTAATTATGTCAATATTTTATCAAAAACAGCGTTTAAACCAAAGTTATAAAACAAAAAACTCAATTTTATAAAATTTTATAAAACCAAACTTTAATCGTTAATATCTTTTAACATAATAAACTTACAAATAAAAAGTTGAAGTAGTTAAATGTTAAATTTAATTCGCTATCGACTTCTGAACAAATGATGTTGATAAAATTGTTTTCAAGCAATTAATTAATAACTATAATCATTCTAGCGTCTTGTATTCAATGTCAATTAAACTGTAGAATGAGGTTTGCCAAAGTTACTTATGATTAAGTAGTCGACAATCATGAATCAAGGCAAGAAACCTATTACACTTTTAATAAATCGCAAATTAATATCCAACAACAAAGAAACTCGCAGCAACAAACGGATATCGAAGAACTTGCACGATCATTGTTTGTCAATTAAAACGTGAAAAATTCGTTAATTAGATTACGCACGCCCCTCGCCTCTGCAATTGTGAACAAAACGCAAATCGATTGTTTCAAGGTTTATTTCTCGATGTAAACTTATCACGTATATTCAATGCTATTGTTGTATTGATGCTCGTTGCAAAACACATAATTATTAATTCGGGACATGTGCGCATTCAGTAATTGGGTAAATGAGACTCAATCAATGATGATTTATTTAAATGAGCATACAAGGTGTTTGCCGCGTTGATTTATCACCAATCTCGCAATAAACGAACTCAATCAAATGACACACACGGCTTGCATTGAGGCATTAAACGCCATGTTGTGTAAACATTCGCGTATTAAAACGCGTTTCTTAATCATTCGTCCGCGCACACAAAGATGAACAAACGCATAATCATGAATAATGTATAATAACGTAAGAAAACAAACAAATTGCATGCTTATTCTTCTACCGCGAAGCCGTATGCACTCGATACAATAGCGCCATAGTTAAAGAATAATAAATTTAATGTTTTCAGAGTTTCAATGTTTCCTACAATAACATAAACTTGGAATTGATTGCAAAATTGCGAAACAACATTAACCTCTCCTCGGCGCGCAATGGCACCACCTCGAAAAAGAACAAAAGCTGAGACCAATTAATATTTCTCGGAGCGCCAGAGGTACATATTGCAATGGCAATAAACTAGACTTCTTCCTCGACGTAATTGCGCGAGTGCCCTTTATTGGTGAGCGAGTTCGCCGATCGTCTTCGGTTTTTGTGCGGCTCGTTTCCGCGCCGATAATAACTTGTGCAGTATAACTGTAACGACGAAAATTATGAAGCCCAGCTGGTCGGCGCAATGAAATCCAATACGAAACGATTAATTCGAGAACGTAATTAAAAGATTTCGATTCGACACGTCGAAACATCAAAGAATAATTGGACTGAGGATATAATAATAAGTGTCTCTTGTGCCTCTTGACATTTAGGAATTATTAATATTAGAATTTATTGTTACGTGTTTAATTATCTCAAGACATGCCATAAATAATGTTTGACAGAATTTTTGATTTGTCCGCGTGACTAGGTACTCCATCATTAGACAGAAACTAATTTAAAGGGATTTGTTTTTTGTGCAACCTCCTCTTAGACATGAAAACAGCAAAACACGTTTTTTTTTCGTTCTCGCTGGTTGTTTTGTTTTGAAAACGTTTCAATGTTGTACTTTGTGCGCTCCACTCGATGCTCTTTGTGCTTTACTGTTTGACGTTGATTCGAATTCTGTGTTCCAAGTGGATGCGCGAATGTCTGCAGCGTGTACTGTGATTTATGTCTAACAGTACAAAAGAATGCACGAACTTCACCGACTCGTCGAAATATCCATTCGATCGTTTTTATCTATTACCCATTACCGACGAATCTGTGAACCGGCGAAGGAGAGTGGCAGCCGAGCAAACAAAACACCAAACGAGATGATTCCACAGCACTCGTGTTTTCTATTATATGGGAATCACGACCTCGGCGTCGATGCGAAATTATCAACAGCAACAAGAAAGCAGCGCGCAGTCGGAATTGTGTGTGTTATAACACGATTTACGATTACGATTCGTAACAATGACGGCTAATGTTCTAATCCTCAAATGTAACGTCGCCCGGTGCTCGTAATAATAATAATGAATGTATGGAAGAGTGGCATGGCTGGCAGGAAACAATCGGACGAAGATGAAAAACGAATTGGGCTTGTGGCACAATGTAAGAAGCAAGGTTCAAAAGTTGCGCACAATATTGCGAAGCGCATCAAATTGTTCACAAATAAATCAATCAAAAATCTTTGTTGTTGCGATGCGCTATTATGTAGTTCGTTATAAATCGATCGATCGCCTGATAGTTCCAGGGAATTGATGGACCAACACAA